AAAAAAAGGTGCTTGTGCTGCTACTGCTACTACTGGTCTTTCTAACAGAAGAAAATTGAACAGGATCATGAGGTGTGACAGTGTTGAATGTTAACGAAACGTGGATGTTGCGTGGGGAAAGAATGCAGATTTTTTATAACAAGTGAAATGATTAATAAAATTAAATGCATATTTTCTAAAAACTAACCATTTGTGGGTTTTTGCATAGCACAGGTATATTATTGACGAGGTCAAACCACTCCTTTTTTGTTTTTTTTAAGCTCTGGAACCATTCCTGGATGGATGGATCCATCGTGTGATGAGATCTAAAAGTTTGATACTGAGGCTATCGGTGCAAATGGGCTTTAAGCACATCTTTATGTCTTGATTTCCCCGTTTTGAAAATGGATGCCTTCAAATAAAATTAAGCTGCCGAAGCCGGGGCAATACCTAATAAAATTGCTCCAAATCCGCACGAGTTGAAGGGAAGACATCTTAGTTCTAGGTTAAAGGTGTTTTTTGTCTTTCAAAAGTCATGGGGGGGGTCCTGAGATACTTCACAAAAAAATGTTCCCAGCTAAGGAAACCAACACTGACACACCTGGCCTATTAAAGGCGGCCATCTTCCTCAACAAGCTCGGGTTTGAAGGGACAGGAAATGGAAACACAAGTGAATAACAACGATGATGTCACACGAGCGTGCAAGAACAAAAAGGGAGAGGTGAAGAGAGGTGCATCATGGGGAATATCCCAGCAGTCTATGCCCAGTGCAGCATAACTATGGTTAGTTGAGCCATCACTAACTTTTAGCCTTGTCAAAAAGGAAAGGTCTAAGTTGGATTCATTAAAAAAAAAAGTCCAGAGAAGTTTGGTAATGCAACAGATGTCCAACAGATGGGGTTGTTCGCTTGGAAACTTAAGAGAGGGCAAATTTGGATAAATTCAGGTACAGAGAACACTTTCTTCCCATCTCTTTTGATTTTTTTGCAGACAAATGAACCCAGAATTCTACAGAAATAATTGCGAGTGTGCACTGCCTCCACATGTCTTTTTTTTTTCTTTGACCTCTTTATCAAGAAAAGCCTTTGAGGAATGTCTAGACATCACGAACAGTCGATGTATCTCTCGTGCAGAGGCTGCAAGGGAACATTCAACAGATAACCTACTGACACCGAAAGTAGAGAATGGGACAGCCAGCTTCCATTCGACGTCCTGGCCTTTTGTTTCTTGGTTCTCAGGAAACGAATATCTCATTTTTCCCTCGTTCTGTTCTGCAATCACCAGACAGATCATTTTGGCCCAGTGACGAAAACTGGGGGAGGATTTTTCAGGTGACTGAAACCACAATAGGAATCATAACACATACATATATATATATGTGTATATGTTGTTTTGTTTGATATTGAGATCAGTTTGCACTTTATGTCTCTTAAAAGAATGTAAACCACAAAAGCTTTAAGATTTAAAATGATTCTATGAAGCAACGAGTATTTCACAGCTGCTTGTCTCCTTGGCAGAATTGTAACAAATAATGATTTCCAGTTAGTCAAAAATACCCATGTGAAGTTTAGAAACAGTCCATATCGTCCTGCTGATCATTTACAGGGTGGGTGTGGGTGTATCTCGAACTCTACTGTAAGTGGGACAAAGGTCCTACATCACTGTTTACTGCAGTCGGACACCATCATTAACACAGAAATCTAAAGGATGAGAATAACATGCAAACATCTACAGCTCAGTTCTTCATATTTTGAAGTAGGAACTTTTACTTAAACTAAACCTGAAGTAATCCATTCACTTCAGAGAATCCAAAACCTAAATTACAAACACAAATGGGGAAAACCAAAGGACAAGGAGACCGGATGGAAATGTGGGAGACAACAGACATACGGTATAAAAACAATGAGAACCAACAATAGCTGACTGGACCCGACCGAAAATGAGAGAAACTGAGGAGGGAAGAAAAATAGTAAATGAAGACGTTTAACACAGGTGAAGGGTGGGGGAACAGACAACCAGGACGAAAAAAAACAAAACATGGAGGGTCACCATGAAGCAAAGGAATGATCATCTAGGAACAAAGCAGAATATAAAAATGAAGAGAGGGACGATACAAATGACAGATAACGAATTAATCAAAGCTAGATGAAAAACTCAAAACTGGGGAACAAACAAAAATCCACAAATAGCCATCGCAACAAGGGGCGTTTAAAGAACCCTACTGGACGATGCCAATCCCCTGGATTTGCAGTAAGAAACGCACCTCGTGACAGAAATTTGGCAGAAAAATTCATTCAAAATCGTTCTTGTTTTACAACAAAACTAGTGCCTGGAAGTTCTCAGACGTTTCTCTGACGTCCGCCTCCATTTCCACTAGGAATTTTGTGTGTGTCTGAGAGCACAGGTTTGCCCCCCCCCCCCGCTCATCTTAATCTACTCTGACAGATGTGCTGCTCTGCTAGAAGGGGAAACAAATTCTCGGAAACCCTCTCCCTCCAAGTTAGCGCGCGGGGAGGAGGTGACCACGTAAAACCACTTACTTGAGAGACAGCTATCTTTAAGCGGTGTAGTATCAGTCTCTGGATTCTGTGGAGGAAAAAAAGATAGCCGTGTGCAGGAGCGTGATGATGATATGTTGAGTCAGCAAGTCAAAGTGACATGAAACATCGCTTTTCCTGCATGCTGTGTGTCACTGTTTCCCACAGGCTGTGCGAGGAATCGATTCAACTTTCTCTGTTTAAATGAGGAAAACTCCTGCTGATTGCTTAATCTATTGATGCTTATTTATAAGTGTTCCTCTTTGAATGGACCATTTCAGAGCTTGATTTTCTCCCTATATGCAAGGAACTCAGTGCCACATCACTGTGTGTCTTCACATAAACTGGTGAGATTAAATTAGCCTCTCATATTTAGTACAAGTTTGGGGGAGGTGGGTGTCTTCATGTCTTTACAGTCCAGGTCTAACCTTAGAACAAAGGCCTGTAACTGCCTTTCTGCAGTTCCACATGCCTACTTTCCTACATTCCTGGATCGTTGTACCCCAAATTGTTCAGAATTGTCCACGTTTCTACACGTAGTTGCATCAACTGTGTCTGGTGAGCCTATCCTGGAATTGAATCTGTCTGATTTGCATACATTATTAATTCAGCAAAGACTTTTAATTTACTAATTCTAAAATAAATTGTGGTTCATAGTTAATCAGTGGCAGGATCAGTGAAGAGGTATACATGACCGTATGTGGTGATAACGCTGGTGTGGTGGTTAGCACCGTCGCCTCACAGCAAGAAGGTTCCGGGTTCGAGTCCCTGGGGGAACCAGGACATCTTCTCCCTGTGACTGTGTGGGTTCTCTGGCTTCCTCCCACAGTCCAAAAACCTGCATGTTAGGTTAATTGGACACTCAAAATTGCCCTTGGGGATTGTGAGTGTGTGTGGTTGTGTGGTCCTGCAATGGACTGGTGCATTGTCCAGGGTGTACCCCGCCTCCAGCCCATTGAATACTGGATTGGGCTCCAGTCTCCCCGCAACCCCATTAGAGAATAAGCGGTTACGATAATTATGGATGGGGATAACGCCAACTGCTGTTAAATTTTTGTGGATCAAAACAAGTTAAAGCTGTCAAAATGACATCTGAGTCCAAGCACTAACCACTTTGAAAAACTAAAAAAAAAAAAAGTAAACACAAATATGGGATGTAATTGTTTGGAAAAGTGGATTAATGTCAGCTGGAAAAAAACAATAAACAAAAAAAAAAAGTACATGTTCTGGGTTATTCTATTGATTTTATGATTACCTTATTTTTTTTTTTTAATCAGAAAAATGAGCGATAAGTGGTTTTGCCTCCAAACTTTCAGAGTTGTTGGCTTTGACTCAAGGCTGCTCCACATTTGGGGGGACTTTCTGAGTAATCCATTCCAATGAACGCCAGCCTGCACAGTCCGTGCACAGACCAAACACTGGTCAAGTGAGGTCATTTCTGAAGCTATCTCTCGATCCGTTTGCCCAACGGGCTTTCGACCAAAGTTTATAGTTCAACGATCACAGACATTTTTGACAAGTGGACAGTGGACTGTGCCGGAGGGACAACTGGAGCCTTCAAACAATGTGGTCTGCCAGGCTGCACAAAATCTAAAAAAAGTCTTATTTTTTTTAACCTTTTTAGAAAATTGGAAGTCATAGAGAGTAACTGAAAGTGCACTATTCGAGAAGCTGTTCGTAAAGATTCAAATCCTGTGCAGTGGACCTACATTTTGCAAGGCGCAGCGGTCAGAGGCTGGGAGGCGGAGGATCGGCCTTTGCTCCGTTCCTCTGCAGCCAGACAGACTCACCCGATGAGTCACACAGGGCAGTAAATCCTCACGCACATGTTCTGGATTTGTGTCGCTAAAGGGGTTCCTGTCAGTCTCGTGGTCTACCGGGGACCTCTTAGTCATGAAAATCCTTTTCCTGGAATTTGCAGAGACGTTTTACTTAGAGGGATCAGCCATATTTTTTTTTTTATTGCTCTTCATATCTCCTTGCCTTCAATGTAAAATCCACTCTTTTGAAAACCTCAATTCTGCTCACCAGTAAAACACCAAAAACCACTGCACTGGACTGGACTGTAGTAAATAAAAAAATAAAAAAATCCGAAACAAACAGTTTTAAGCCTTGATTTGTAACTTAACCTCTCACCTCTTTTCAGAGATACTGTATGCATTTTAAAGCTTTTCTGTTAGTGCTCTGAACATCTGAGTACCCTAAGCTATAATGTAAATAACTCACTACAGCCCACATACTGCTGTATGCAATGCAGCTGCTTTTTAAAACTTATTTTGTCTGAAATATGCATTATTTCTAGTTTAAAAAACAATATAATCAAAGTTAAATCTAAACAGAGCTGTGTTTAAACTACTGTTGAAGTCCTGCATTCATTATCTTAAAGGCCTGGCAATGACCAAATCATTTAGACAATGTACCAATGTGATATACCTTGAACTTAAGATAGTGGCTATGATGTTTTTTATGTGACTTTACATCTTGTTGCCTTTGATTAACATCACTGAAATGACTTCCTTGGCTTTTTGAAGTTGAAAAAAAGTTCAAACATTTTTCACTGTTTGCAATGTTTCCATTTCACATTTTCTCACTTTTAAGCTTTTTTTTAATCTCCACTGAATTGTTTTAATTCTTAAATAACGTGTAAAAAACTTTAAATGACAGAATATATTAAGTGAAATAATAGACTTTATCCCAAGTCAGCTTTAACTTGCCATCGCACAGCTTTGCGGATTTATGTTTCTAGATTTTTAAGGAGAATTGAATTCTTGGGGGGATCACATATAGCAAATTAATGCCATTGGCTACAAGTCAAGTGCTTTTTCTGAAGTCAAAACCTAAAAGTTAACAGGTATTCATATGTTTTACCTAACCTCTCGAAGGTATGTTTGCAACTAATTGCTATTTTTGTGCTCATGAGCTTTATTTAAAATGAGCTAGACTCTTGCTCAATCAAAAGACAAACACTGGTGAGCTCATGCTGCCATTTTATTTCCTAATACTCAAATATATGGAGGGCACATAACCGCATAATGCATGCACACGAGTCACATGCAGAGATCACATGTGCTCTCTAAAGCAAGATACACCTGCTGTATGCATTCAAACACGATCTAAAGTCGGATTACAACAAATTAGTGAATTAATTTGCTGTATGGCACATTATAGATTCCATACATTTCTCCATTTTCAGAACAAACTCATGCTCACCACGTCAGAGCCCTTTACCCTCTAACCCTTTGGAACCTCATATGTTCATTTTACTATCACGTGTGTTTTGTCTGGTTCACCTCATGTCGTATATATAATAAAGAGATCGAGTGCCTGGATAAACACGGGGAACTTAACACATTCAGATGAACATGTTTAATGGCCTATTTATGGAAATGTCAACGTTCTACAGTCAGGTCTTATCTCATTTCGGTCGATGGGCGAGATAAAGACAGAGAGGTGAGGCTGGGGGGGTGTGGGGGGGGGGAACTATGACTCTGTGACTTTGTCCCTCCCTCATGCTCCGCTTCTCCTGGGATCGCAGCCTGACTATATAAAGGAGAACCGAGCCCTCTTGACTTTGCTGAGTCAGGCTGATCTGAGGAGACTTTCATCAAAACCTGTAACTTATGAAAAGGCCTGAGTAAAACTGACTTCACAAGAGATCCCGCGTCTGATTCTGGGACTCCTGCTCAAGCGTTGGCAGTAAGAGAAATCATTCGGACTGCACCGGCTTTTGACATCTCAGACACAGATAGACACGAGAAAAAGAAAGTGGTCAACATTTCCACCAGAGAGCTGTGAAAAGATGCAGAACAAAAGCTTCTTCATTCAAAGGAGAGCAGCGGTGGCGATGTCCATTGTGCTTTTATTGCTGGCTCAGCAGGTAAGAATGTTTCAAGGAATGATTTCGAGCACCATTTTTATGTTTAAAAAAACAAACTTTCAAATGTCTTTAAGGTCCAGTTTACTAGCTGTTGTGCATTGTGAAATGTAGAAAAAAGCTACAAATAGGCTTTCTGTACTTCTTTGGATAAACTCCAACAAATAGCTTGCTGAGAATGACTGCTCTCTTGGTTTTTCATAGTCATGTTCTTAAAAGGAATGTTTCTTTTTGCCCGTGTGTTTTACCAGATCTCTGCAGGTCCGTTAGTCTCTCGGGCTCAGTCTGACACTGACCAGGCAGCAGACTCGGCGTTGGAACACGGCGTGCACGCACCGAGGAGAACAGCTCGCATGACCCCGCTGTGGAGGATTATCAGCAGCAAACCGTCTGGAGCTTTCTGCCAAAACAACTTTGAATGTTCCACAGGACTCTGCAGGTAAAAACTGAAAAAGAAATAAAAAAACTAGAGGAAATAACCTACTGAAGTAAAGTAGGGTGTAAAACTACAGATGCGTTTTGAATTTGCATTGATGTGACCATATGAAATTGTTATGCTAAAATGTAATATCATCAAACTTAGGATCAAATCAATTTTTTTTTTTAAGTTTCTTTCATTTTTATTTATTTGTGAAGTTAGAAAATGGTCTCAGGAGGCAAGCGTGTGAAAATGAAGTGTTGAAAGCCTTCAGCTGATGAAAGAAAAAAATAAATCCACTTGGGGTTGCCCTTCAAATCGCAGCTAATATGATATTGTTCTGTATGCTTTGTCTAAGTTGTGTGCCAAGTTGTCTACAACTTGGTAAAATTCCCCTACCACATTTAGAACTACCGGTCAGAACTTAAGATACATCATCTCATTCAAAACTCATAGAAAACTGTGTTCAGAATCAGAATCAGAAATACTTTGATAATCCCAGAGGGAAATTATCTTTGTTACTAACTCCAGAAACCCTTGTGTGGGACTGTACTTTAAGATGTCTTGGTCATCATTAGCTGACTTAGCTTCAAGGCATTCTACCTTATTCTGTTTAGAAACAGGTGGTTTTGCAGTCTCGATTCTTTTAATTTCTAATGACAATTGAGGGAAAGCAAATCTTTCTCCTGAATGCAACTGATAGCACAAAACTGCTTTCATTATGTATTCTTATCAATCCAAAATGATTATGCATGACGTATTGTGTTGACGTACGTTATTGTTACTAGCTATTCATATTTTTACTGATAATGTTCTTGCCAACGGACAAACTGCACATCACGCATGGTGTTACACTATTTCAAACTGTTCCTACAGATAAGCCGATCGTTGCACAAAACCTCATGAACTAAAAACTCCTTTTCTCTTGTTTTTAGAGCCGGACACTGCTCCACAAACCGGGGGTCCTCGACAGAGCCTGCAAAATATTAGATGTCCGACCATCTAATATTCAACTAGTGTGTTTTATATGAGTATGCAGCCATAATCTTGACGGGTTCTGATAACTGGGATATGAACATATCCACATTTTTTTTAAGTAATTTTTTTTTCTGAATTACTATTTATAACTGCTAGTGTGATATCTATCTGACTATATAATTTATCTAAAAAAAACTTTTTTTGTGATAGAAATTTACATTTACATTTAGACAGTAGTGTGAACTAGCAGAAAAAAAGGGTGCAAAAAACACAAGTATGCAAAACTTCCATTTTGGAAACCAAAGGCCTTCAGGCCACTTTAGCACGTTATCACAACCTTGAACCAAAATTGCACAAATAATGTAATATCCAAACAACTTGATAACAGAGTTTTATTGACAGTTTAGATTTGCCGATAGTTATCCTGGAAAAGAACACGGAAAGAGCAGGGAGCAAAGCACATGCGAGGCCTTTCAGAGCACCCTACCGTTAAATTGTCCCACGTGTTTATGGTAACCGTCTCATGTTCAGGCCGATAACTTATCACTTTACTGTTTTCTCAGAGTAGAGAGTCACAACATTCATTTAGAACATTGTTCACAGCCACGTAATCAGCAGCTATTTCAAACAAGCACCCAGTGATAAGTTAAATGTGCTTTTGAAGATGAAAAACTGTTTTGAGTGACAAAATCTCTTGAGAAATGACATTGGATGCAATAAGAATGGTGATAAACCATCAAGAACCAAAGGAACTGGTAATGAAGCTATGCTCAAACCATTTGACATCTGTTAAATCATTGTTTCTATTTAGCTCAACAATAAAGGTGTTTTCATATACATAATATAGCTGAGATATATCAGGTTATTCACAAATATGCTAAATGGATGCATGGCGACTTGATGTACTGCATGCTTTCTCAAATACTTCCATTATATTTATTTTATCCTCTCTTTTAAGTGTCAAAATGTTCCCTTTTTTGTTTAGTTCTGGTTTAATTTCTTTGTTTGACATTAGCATTCAACCCTTAAGACTTTTCCAACTTCTCCGGTCGGAACCCGGACTGAGTGTACAACCAGGATATTGTCAACAATGAGCCGTAAACGCTTTTATATTTGCACATCTTTGTCCTGAGTGGTGGGACAGTCAGCCGGGACTCACCTGCAGAGTTTACTTCATGCACACAGCAGGTGGCGGCTGACGCCTCTGTACACTCGGCCTGTCCGAGAGCCGTCTGAGTCGGATTGCACCTTTCAAACCCAAATTATCTTTGTACTGTGTATCGTTTACCGTACTGTGTTACCTTCATGTGGAAGGATGAGGAAAAAGTGGAATAAAAACGTTGGAGAAAAAGGAAATCTGTGTCCCTGGCTTATCTTTTAATTAGGGTCTTGTTGCTATTGGTTGATGGCACATAACTGATTTTGATCACACACATCAGTGCAAGAAAAATATGTTTAAACATTCATTGTCATGCATCATGAGCTTTACTATACGTACAACTCAAAGACGTGTTTAGGACACCATGCACATCTGAATCCAAGTCTGAAAATGTTTTTTCAGCTTTAGAGTTACTTATCTTGACCAAGACTCACATCTTTCCTAAAATTGATTGGAAGTACAACAAAACGTCATCCAGCAAAGTCAATATTTTGATATGACCACCATTATACAGTCTGAACCATCTGAGGCAAATTTCTGATAATTTATTTAGACATAAGGAAAGCTCTTCTTTGACTGCTTTTTTTTTTTTTTAAAGGAAAAGTTAGCAAATGTAATGCTGTGAAAATTGCAGTAGGACTGTTTTGCTGTTTCCAACAAAACTCCATTTGTTTGAGTTCATTCACCATTTCAATGAGTATACACAGAATAAGAACGTAGAATAAGAAGCAACGAGTGTTCCCGGCACGCACACTTTCGAAAATTGCTCGGAAGAACCGGAGCTACATTGTCTCATTTAACGTTTTTCTAGAGATATCACTTTGGAACGACCGACATGCATGAGACCTTAGAAACATCTGGAACATCTAAAAAAAAAGAGTCTCTGGCCTGCAGTATAGATGTGGCAAACAGCTACACTGTGAAGAACAACCATAGAGACCAGTCTAAAGTTTAAATGTAACAAAAGAGTTTTACAAGAAGCTGAGGGACAGTGTGAGTCCACCCCAAAGCAGATCGCTCGTTCATCAAAGGTCATGCAGAAAAGAATGAGGGACTCAATCCTCCTGACTCAAAGTCCCCCCTAGAGTCAATTCAGAATCCCATTTGAACCTAATTCATGTGCTTTCTGGATGGTGGTAGAGGCTCAGAGTAGACAAAGAGAACCCCACAAACAGGGGAAGAACGTGCAAACCAAACAAAAAGGTCTCAAACCCTCTTGCAGAGAGGCTAAGGCAAACCTCCTGAGTGCGCTATAACAGTTATAAAATGGCTATCTGTACTAATTCTATTCATTAAAAACAAGAAAAACTGTACGTAGCCTGGCCTAGGGGTTAGTTCGAGTTGCCTTGTAGCATTGCCAAGTACTTCTGTGCCTAGGGTTTAACCGACAAGTAAGAACTAGATGTAGACGCGAGAATAAAACTGCCAGCAGCTGAATTTATGGGCATGATCTTGACTTTTACCGTGATCAAAAGAAAATTGACGAATGGATGGAATAACTTATCCTTCCAGCTTTTGGAAAGCTCAGCATAAAAAGGGGGTCCAACCCACATGGAAACGTGTGCGAATACCGGCTTGCTCGGCAAAACCTTTGCAGATGTTCACGTTCAACCGTCACACCAGACTCATCTGCTTTGCATTTTTATGCAACAAACCCGAGGGACCGACGCTGCCTGCGCTCCAAAGCCAAACAGCTGCTCGCATTTCGGTGTTGGTTCTTTCAACACAGTTGGTCCGGGCCAATTATGTGAGAGGTTAAAGTCCCCGTTTGCTGAAAGAGAAATAACTCCTGAAGAATGTTCCCACTTTACATGAGAAGAAAACTGTTTTTTTCTGAAAAAAAACAAGAGACCCAACAAACTCAAGTCTTGATTGCCTTGAAAATTTTGCATTTTTTCTCCCCCTGAATGTACCGTGTTTCATAACCTTAGGTCTGCCAGCGCCTCCAGAGCCAGGCCCAAAATTCTTCTTCTTCTGGTATCGGTTCAGGGACAGAAAACAGGCCGGGGGTTCCCTCAGGTACGCACATTCGGCACGCCTGTGGCAGGCCGGTCACCCACACAAACCACTGACCAGGCCCAGGTCCAGGGCTTCAGTGTGTTGGCTCGAAATGGGCCCTCGAATCTAAATACCCAAGCCCCCTCTGACCTCAGGGCAATGGCCGCATCAACCCCCACCGCCCCGATACCAAGGTAAAAAAAGGAAAGAACAAAAATAAAACAAGACAGTTTCTATCTCTTATTGTCGGATCTTTTGCAAAGAAAGGCAAAACAAGACCCGCATATGAGTTATTCAGCATTTTGTGGGACAGCTGACCGATGACACGGGTCTGAATGTTGGGAATTAATCCAGTGGACGTGGGGTACTTTTCTCTCTGTGGAAACTACGGTCTTTGAGGGTATTTTTTTTTCTGTGTGGTTCCTGGTAGCTTCACGCATCTGTTGTGATGCACGGACGGGAATGCAGGACACCCCTTTCCATCGGGCAGCAGCAGACTGGCCTTAAGAGCGCCCGAGTCGGGCCAGGCTCCAGACGATTACAAGAGGACGCATGCTAGATGCAGAGATGGAACCCAACTGAGACAAAACGAGGAGGAACGTCCAATCAATTCTTCCGATTATCATGGAAAATATGTCATGTGTGGTGGATGGAATGGACAAGCTTGGAGCTCATCATCCCCATGTCATCCCTTTGCTTATAGTTCTCATGTCTGCCTTTAAGAGAAAATAAGTGCCTGGGAAGTGGGCAAATTTGAAGGTAAATGCAGCCTATAAACAGACACATGAAATGAAATACCTCAGCCATGTGTTTGGGTTTTTTTTTTTCCACGTGTTTACTGTTCCCTGGTATCTTTCTGTGCAAAGTTTGTGCTCCTGCCGCCTGGAACTTGGCCTCTTTTCCTAAAGTCTGGCCAGAAACCTTCACACAGTGTCCTTTGCGAAAGCTGAACTGGTCATCCCACTGCCCGCTTGCCCCGGTCTCCAGGGAGCGATATTTAATAGTTTCTTTTCGATTGAAGATACAGAGCAAACTGTACACAATGTGGCTGGGTAACCTTTGCCCTGCTCTCAGTTCTGCTGGTTCTCGTCTTGCTGGGTCATTTTAAGTTTCGGTTCAGAGCAGTTTTACGTCAGATTCTAGAAGAAAAGCTACAGTGCTCGATTGGAACACATTACTCTCTCATAGACATTATTTCATGACTTTAATCAAATCTGATCTTTATTTGTTGATGTCAAATTACGTTTTAAGAAATTAAAAAAGTCTTTTAGTAGCCCTTTATTAGCGCCTTGCCTATGACAGCATGTGTTGTAGATTTTAAGTTACAAATCAATAATCGTCAGAGGTCATTAATTCTCACTAAAGTAAATTGGCGGCAATATTCTTTAAGATTATCTTCGATGAGAGAATATAAACCAAAACAAATGATTCTTTGGCAATTATTCTGCACTGAAATGACTTTCCTTTTTCTCATAGCTCAGACTGCAGAATAGATGAAGATTTGGTTGGAATCTAAGATCATCTTTGAATTTTCCTTTTCAAATATAAGTATTTCTAATATGGACATATCCAGCTGGCCACTTGTCCTACATCCTGCCGGGATGATACACACTCTCTGCGGTGTTAGCGGAGGTATTTCCACAAATTCTAACTTCTATCTGCTGAAGTCCAAGTTCAACCATAGTGCCGGTAAAGTCCTTAAGACACTGGCGCTGACTCATCGAGGCTGCCCCTAATCAGGATGCATAGAAGGGCAAAGGTCAACCGGTGAGGCCTTTTATATTTGGCTCCAAACTGTACAACACTATCTGGAACGAGAAGGGACAAACACTACGTGTGGCCACAGCTCTGCTTTTGACACCAACCGGCCCAAAACAAAAACAACCCCAACGATCACTGAACTAAATAAAAAAAAAAATCACCAATAGGCCTATTCACCACGCGTAATATGAGGTTGTATCCTGACAACGCACCGTGATTTTTATGTAAATTCTTTTCTAAAGACATCAAGGTATCTCATCACTACTGTAGAAAGGAATTTTGGCTTTCCACATTTATTCTTGCAGTTATATTTTGTGGAGGGCCAACAGCTCATTCCTTCTGTCGATGCAAAGGAAATGGATGGAAATTACAATAGTACAAAAAAAAAAGAAGAAAATACTTTACATTTCCAAAAAGAAAAAGCCTTTGTAAACTTGTTTAATCTGCACCAAAGGGTGGGAAAGATTAATACAGTCAAGTGTCAAGTGCTCTCTGAATCTCACGCTTTATTTTTTTCTTCTATTGATTGCAGTTGGACTGGATGGTTAGTCTGTTGTCCACAGCGAACTTTTTTCACTTCCTTTGTTTAACTCATCCTGCTGAGACCCATCGGGTTAGCACGGTCTCTGCAGCAGACCCAGCGATGGCAGATCTGTGTGTCCGAGCACGTGCATACGTTTAAATACGTTGCCAGAGGTCAATGTTGTCGGATGGACGGTCTGGGTCCGAGCCCACGCCTCTCTGTTTGCCTCTCAGATGTACATAACCCAGGTCGTGCATCTCTGGTTTGGTCAGCGGGGCTAAACTTTGAACGCTAAATGTACGTTTCAAAGGTCGGCATGCCACGATTACGTTTCTGGGCTGATTTCTTGGATTTAAATCTGGCTTTTTCTTGTTTTTTTTGTTTTTTTATGCGCTGTTGGCGTTTTCTAACCAGCTGATTGCACTGCTGCTCAGTTGTTTGGGTCAGGATAGATTCAGTAGACATGAGTGGTTGTGTTTTCCAGGAATTCTTTGTGTCCTTAGCTGCCTCGTCTAAAAAAAAAGAATCCTTTGATTTACTGCTGATTTTAAAATCTGCAGCATTTTTTTTTTTTATTGTAATTTACTTTTTAAGCGCCTTGGGGTGGGTTGCGGCTGTTTTCCACATAGGTATTCAGAAATAAAAACAGGTGAGTAGTTCTGAAGCTGGGAAAGAAGCCTGGTCGAAGTTCTGAAACAGAAACAGAAAGCACCTGTTGGCTGGGGGTGTCTGGATGGGCCCAGTCCTGTCGGGTATCAGGCGGCGCCTCCGTATCGGTCGGGAGGCTGTCGCCGCCGTTCCCCGTGGGGGGGGGGGGGCCTCTTGCTTCACGGCTGGGTGGGCTCTGACCTCTTTTCGGGTAGATGCGCAGTTGGCCCTGCAGTGGGCAGGGTCTTAGATACCCTCTCTGTCTACTTCTTGCTCAGAAGAATCAATTAAACTTCCTCAGTCCATCAGAGGGCCGCACAGAGACAAACAACCACACACTCACATTCACGCCTAGAGGCAACGTGGGGCGTCCCACTCCACCCAGATGTGTACCGGTTCCCCGGGGACTCTAACCGGGAACCCTCCACACCACCTTGCCGCCCCATTTTGTTTCCATTCAATTCCCTCTCTTCGTCCAGGACGTGTCCCTTTTCACTCATTTTCATATGTTTATCATTAATTATGGTCAGTGGTTTAAACTATAACAGCTATGTTCCAATATTCCTGATATGGATGCTGGGTGCTTGTCATGCACTTTTAATTTAAAAAAAGAAAAAAGGTTTCAATAGACTTGGTTGTCTGGTTGTATATATCATTTTTGCATTTTTGTCCATTTTCTTTCCCTCTTCAGCAGTGGTGTCTAAATGCATCAAATATTTGAACAACATTTTTTTTTTTAAAAGGGGAATTTTATATCTATGAAGCTGGACAGGGCAAGGTTAAAAAAAGATCCATCTGCATATCATCCTACTGGTACTTTTAGTGGGCTGTGGACTTTTGGATCTGGGTTCAGTTAGATACAGCGTTATTGCATAATTGTCAAACCCAGCCGAGCCATTATCCCAAATGACTAGTTCTGTCCTTTTAAGAGTCTGAACCCAGTTCAAATTCCTCACGCTTGTGCCTGACAGCAGCTGTTTACGATCACGAGGAGCATGCCGATCTCTGATGCCATCGTTACTCAGCCTGTGGGGTGCAGAGCTGAACATTTAAATCAGCTTTTGGCTAACCTGTAGCTGATTTTAGACTCAAATTGAAAATTTGTGATGATCTATCAATCTAAATGTTTTTATACACTAAATTCTTTGTTACGTTTAGTAATTATTTTGAATTTAGATGTTTATTTATAAAATCATACTTAATTGCTCCTGTGCAAATAACCTGGAAAAAAATAAAAGAGGGCAGAAAGAAAATATAATATTGAACTAAGATGAAGGACTAAGATGAACCAGGGCAGAAAACTGCACCAGGACATGATTTAAGACTACACATTTAATATGGTGCTGTAGTTTGATGCCCAAAAACCAATCTGTAACATCTGGAGTCGAGATCAGGCCTGATTTTAACCAGTCATCAGTAAGCACACACACACACACACACACACACACACGACTGTAATAATACTCTATAACCAAATGGCAGATGTCCTCATTTTCCTAATCAAAATTGAATTGACCAAAATCAGTGTATGAAGCCTGCATCACCAAGAAAAAGGATGGAATCTTGAAAACAATTCATACAACAGTTGCTTTTTCTTTTTCTTTTTTTTTGATAAACTGTTTTATTACAGAATTAGTTTCAACAACCTTTTTGTTCAGAGGATTCTGACTCCCTTTCACTGTGTCATATGGTTGTGGTTCACATGGAGTGTGTCTAAATGAGACAAAATAACTGTTTTCAGCAGCTTATGGTCCATTTAAACAAGGGGAACATTTTATGCCCGTTTGTTTTGGACAGCCTTTAAACAAACAGCACTTCAGGGAGAAATGTGTTCGGTTCAATGGAAAATGAGGGATGGGCTTGAATCTAAGGCAGTTAAATGACTCCCAACATTATCACCCTGGTTCGATGCAAAATGAGCCAATAGCAAGTCAGAGATGGAGAGTATTCGCATCCACGTGGTTTCACGATCCATTACTTTTGAATAGTTTTTTAAAAAACACAAAAAAAACAAGAAAAAACAGCCATAGTTAAGTGCTACAATGTTAAAAGCGAAAAAACAACAACAACTCCCAAACACACGCGTTCACTTTAAGACATTTCTGACATCTACTGTAGCTTTCTCTCATTTTCAGTTAAGAACTACAAAATAAATAAGAGAGGACATGTATATTTAGTTCAAAGTTTCGCTTCATTATTTACATTGCAGTTTGGAGGCACGTGAGAGATTCTGGCTCGGAGGTCTGCAATTGAACCACGTACGCTTATAAATTAGAATCACTAAAGAAAAACCCTTAAAACTCTGCGTTTATGTCCACCAGTCACTAACGAAGCAAAAAAGGAGAAAAGACTGAAATTGTTACAAATCTTTGCTGTGTTCAGTAGTTATCTGGTGTTTCCCAAAGATATCTGCTTTTTTTTTAAAACAAATCTGTTACCTGTTAACGCTCACAGTGGCAGTGAAAAGCAGGTGGGAACGGAACGCTGCTCGCTCGCTCTTCCTTAAATGTAAAAAAAAAATGTAAAAAAAAAAACTCCTGCCGATCCTCCCTTTTTTTTTGGCGGCGTCCTCTCACTGCACGGCGCACGCGCCGCTGGGCAGGAAGTCCTGCACGTACACGGCCACCGCCTTGGTGAGGTAGGTCATGCTCCCGAAGCGCCCGCTGGGGGCGCTGTCGTACAGCAGCCTGCACACCCCCGTGGCCGGGTCCTTCTCCAGGATGGGCTCCTCGGCTCCTAGGTCCTTCTGCGGCACGCGGGGAGAAGAAACCGGTGAGTGACAACAAATCTGTAGTGGATAGAATGGGTGGGGGCGTGCCATAGTGTGGTAGCATTTGAAATCACCTGTTCACTCGCAAGGTGACAGTTTTAGTGGTGAGTGGGTGATGGGGGAAGCCTACTTTTTTGCTGACCGCTATACGCTATACGCTATACGCTTTATGCTTTACGCTTTACACCTTATGCTTTTGGATCTGATCGAATTAAGTTTGCTGTGAACGTTCACTCTGGATTAACGCTTGTTGGATTATGGATGCCTATGAACTGATTCAGTGACGTGTTTAATGTTGGATACCTGAGGATTAAATAAAGGAATAACACGAAGACTTTGGACTGGCATTTGAACATCAAGCGCGTCTGGCTCTGGTTAGTTTCCCCTAATCAGCTGCTCGGCGACCTAAAAGTTTGTGATCAGTCGCCAATAAAATCTTTTCTTTTTTCTTCTTTACACTGGACACTGCAGACCTGATCCTTGTAGAACATGTCGTTGGCCTGGTGGACGATCTTCTCCACGTGGACGATGGAGCCGATGCTGGGGATGTCCACGTCGGCCAGCATGGTGAGAACCAAGATGGCCTCCACCAGCAGCTGCCGGTACTCGGGCTGGGGCACCCGGTTTAAAACGGTTTCCACGTGGACGGAGAACTTGATCTCTCCCGGGGTCATCTGGAGGATGGGGAGGACAATAGATAAGAGGCCATTCTTTGAATCTTAGTGTGATGCATGATTTTGTCAACAGGTGGGACAAAAAGCTTTTTTTTTTTAAAAGAAGAGAATGTTTTTTTTAAATAAAAAAAATATTATTTAAAGCTGTCTCCACTGTATATGCCAGTTAAATTCAGCTAAAATTCACATATTGTCCATAACTTTAATGGTATTTCCTTTTTATTATTATTATTCTTTAATTGTTCTGATGATTGTGACAAAAGAAGTAAAGAAATCTCCCATTGGTTGAAAGGCAGGGTACGATCCAGACATGTCACCTGTCCTTCAAAGAGCCAATAATGCCCACACTCCCTCCAGCGGTCAATTTTAGAGTTGCCAGGAAACTGAACAAGCAGAGTACCTGGAAATAATTAACCAATACCCAGGCAGAAGATGCAAATTCCACATGGAAAAAAACCCAGAGAACCTCTTGCTGCGAGGCACCACGCAGTCCCAGCACTGAAATAATGAGAGTTGTGGTATTGGCCCCTTCTGATGCAATAATGTACAGTTAGTCGTTGTTTTTGGACAAAAAGATGCAGCTTTTGACAGCACCTGGAGTGCTTTGGCTCCTCTGAGTCTGAGCATTTATCACTAAAGGAAAAATATGAAGCAATCGACCTCCAAATGCAATATCTTGGCTGCGTTTGGTCCGGCCTTGCTCAACTAAAGACTTTTCTTTTCTGATGTTATTCAAACTTACTCAGAGATACAAGTTATGTGCATAGGCAAAAAAGGTTGTTGGTATGGTTGTTTCTTTACTTTTACCACTGGAGCAGTAAATGTGTCATCTGGTTATTCTAAGAGGCCATGTCTTGCCATGTTCCATAAAAATTCAGCACCTACTCAGCCAGAGATGAGTCAAGGCGGCTGAAGAAAGTGGCCCTTTATCTATTCATCCATCCATCCATCCATAGATAGATACTCTCTTTTTCATTCCAATTCTGTCTTTTTTTTTTACTTTCACTACAGATTTTTTTTTCAAATCACCCGAAAATCTCTATTCTTCACCTAACCAGTATGAGTCCCGGGAATTTCTCACCTCTCTCGTGGTGGAAGAAGGGAGCACAAATCCCTCAATGGACAGTCCGTGGCACTGCAACACAATGCATTCAGAGAGGTTATTCACCAAAAATTGAAACAGCTTCCATCAAAGACTTCAGTTTTTTTTGGTTTTTGGTTTTCTGTTGTGAAGATGAGGACTGTCGTGTCTCTTTCGCTGACCTTTTGGAGGATCTTCCAGACTTTCTGGTAGAAGCCGACGGGCACCCGGTTCAGCGCCCCGTCCAGCCTTCTCCGGCGCAGCCACTGGCCGTGCCTCGTGTCCTTGGCGCCCGGAAGGCCCTCTGGAATTCCGATGGACTCCACGGATGGCAGCCGGTACCTCTGCATGGCGAGGATGAATGGAAAAAAAAAAGAAAAAAAAAAAGGGAAAATTCACTTTTTGCTCTGCAGGAACGGCGCCCTCTGGTGGTTCCTGGAGCACAATGCAACCCCACAGATGAGGAAAACCCAAGGTGTTTTTCACTCTGCCAGCTCATGCTCCCTCATGTCCGCTCACCTCCCCTCCAAAGTGTTAATTTCTAAGTCATCAAACACATTAATTAGTTAATATGTCTCCGGGACACTCAAATTAATGAAACGTGTTAGCAGAAAGAGGTTTTAGGAGGTGTGCGCCCTCTTCCTCCCCCCACTCGTGAAAACTCTAAATAAGAAGAGAAAGAAAATCCAGGAGCCGCCCCCATTAGAGGATGAGGAGAAAAGAGTTAGACAAAAGCAAATCTTTACCCCAGATTCGGCGCTTTCTACGTCCACTGACTGAGCTGACGTGCCCTGGGAAGCAAGAAAAAAAAAAAAGAAAAAGAAAAAAAAGAAGTAATCAAAGAGCCTGTCAGCAAAATTGACATGCATGATGGAGCTGGAAGGACTGATAATCTTGAAGCGACCCAAATCCAAAGTACCTGCAGGAATTAAAACACCAGTTATTCTGCAAACAATTAAAAACAAAAGGCAGCAGCTCCAGATCAGCTCTGAAGTCAAAAAGGGGGCCAAACAAAGACGTGGCACACCAACCCCCTGACCCCCCCCCACCCCGACCAATCTAAGCATCACTGCTTTCGACCAGCCCAACTTGCTACTCTCATTATCGCCACCTGGACGGCCGAACCGGTCACAGACAGGCTCGGGTCCTGGATCGAAGCAGAACAAGCAGCATTATCAAACCAAGACTCTCAAACTGAGAGGTGCTGATTTATCTTTTTTTTCCCTTTGGACTTTTCTAATATCAGTATAATCTGATAGAGTATATTACTATAATACTACTATATCATTGAAATGACAATTAGAATCGACACCAGTATATTCCCTCGATGGCTTAATCTTCCTCCATCTCTAAAATCCAAGAGAAAGGGGTTTGGTGATTTCATTCTTCATGTGCTAGATTACAGTTCTTCAACTTTTTAAAGCTATTTGTTACTTTCTGCTCCACACTGCATACATCTGTTCCATTTCAAGCCAAGATTAACACCTTATCTCCTACTTCCGGCTTTTTGTCCTCTTTTTCTGAACTCCAGTGGAAAACCAGACCGACGTTTGATCAGTCTTGATCTGATCGATCCTTATACGACTAACTGTCAATGGCTCTGATTGAGCTGACCGGAGGGGACTTGGCTCCTCCGTCAGGTCAACTTTCCACAGGTTTTCAACCTTTTTAGGGACTTTTAGTGTTTGATCTATCGTTTTTTGTTTTTTTTTGTCTGTTTAATCACTGACAGTCAGGTAATCGCTTCTTTCCTTCATGTGATCGTCACCTTGAAAGGATCCGTTAAGGACAACCAGTGCTCCGTCTGCAACACAAAAGCCAGGTTACAAAAAAAAAAAAAAAACACACACACACAGACGCCACCTTTTTCGAACAGATAAGACGCTTCAAATCAGCTGTGGCAATTAAGCCGATTCTCCTCGGTTTTAATTTGGTCCAGAATTTGACATTGTCCCGTCTCTGAGCGATTCTCAACATTTACACCACCGATCCCCGGTGCGGTTCGTGCTTTTTCATTTTTCTCCACTCGGCACCCGTCCGGTGAATTAGCACCCACTTTAAAACTGTACGTCACCTTACTGGGGTCCGTCAGAGACAACCTGTGTTCCAGCTGCAAACACACAGACGTCGGTTCAGAGCAACGTTGGAGAACGAGGACCCCCTCCGTCGGCCCGCTCGGTGCTTGTTTTGTTTGTTTGTTTGTTCTTATTAGCGCTGAATTTTCACCGCGTTCAAACCCGGGCAACGGTGAGCGCTCGTGTGCTTACCATCTTCATGTCGCTCTTCAGCTTACTGATGCCGGCTCTCTCGCTCTTGGTGGCGCCCACGTTACCCAGGTGATGGATGGAGATGGCTGGACTGACACCGGCATCCACCTCTCTTACTGTGGAGGACAGATGGAGATCAAAGTGGCGGCCAGAAGAGCAGCCAGAAGTTGTGTGTAACATTTCTCCACGCTATCTGGGCCTTTCTTTACGGTTTATTATGAATAAAGTTATGAAAACCGAATATTGGACCACACTTTGTAGATATCTTGAACGACTTCACTGACAAAGCAAACAACGAGAAGATTCCTGTGCAGCACATAAGCTATGGCGCCCGACAACGGCTGGCAATAAAGGAGTGTCTAAGCCTCCTGAGCATGAAACAGCCCAGAACAGCCTTGACCCTCAACAGTCAAAATCATTTGACTCTCAGCTTGGAACTAATCACTATACAACCCCAAGATACAGATGGATAAACCATGTTAGAGGTATAGAACGGTTTGCTGAGTCCTTAAAAATACAAATGGTGAAATAGGACAAGTTAAGGACCAAAAGAAGAAGTATCAGCCCTAAAACGCAGTTGAGCTGCATTCGAAAGGGATGTCTGCATAAGACAGGGAACCAGGCCTGACAAATCTCTTCTTTGTTGGTGGCTGTCAAGAAGCCATTCTTTGGGATGGTCAACAGGGATAAAGGGCTGAGCTCTGCCAAACAACAAAGAATGTGGGCTGAAAATCACTGTCTGAAGTTCAGAATCTTCCCAAGGGACTGGAAGCCGAGCATTATCTAAGCAGCACGGAATCATATGGACAGAGAACAGAACAAAAGACAACCAACATCCAAAAAAAAAAAAGAACATTGGGATGTCCTTCAACAAGCCTGGAGAGCTATTTCTGTAGAATTCTTTAAGAAGACACAGGAAGCTGGTCTTTGTAGGGTTCTAATCTGTGGAAGAATGAAGGCTCTAAGGACTAAATGTTGACTTTAAAGCTTGGTTGGAGAAATCACTGAAACTATGTTAAAAAAACTAACTGATGAACAGTGTAAAACACTGGTCGACTGACCGCTGCGCTGGACTCCAAACTCCTTCCCGCTGAGGATGTGGTGCAGCAGGTTCTTCAGCTCGGACGGGCTGAGGCTCATCAGGCTCTCCGTGGCCTCCTCTCCTGCGCACAGCACACAGACACAGGACGGGGGTGTGTGTGGGGTAGACGTGATATTGCCGCTTTTTCGGTGAAACCTAAACGGACGGCGCCGTCCTACCCGAACAGTTGAGCGACTGGGCCAGTTCTGTGGCCATGACCTGGATGATGAGGCCGATCCTCAGGCGGAACATCTCGCTGAAGAGGTTGGGCTGAGTCCTGATGCTCATGGCCAGGTACACCATGATCTCCTGGCGGGGTTGGGTCAAAACCAGTCCATTAAGTGCATTCAAAAAACAACAAAAAAAACAAAGACTGAATGAGGAAAATAAACTATTTTAAAAACCCCACCTGAGTGAGGATGGCCAGCGTAATGTTGTTGTCGCTGGCCTCGTCGATGAGGGCAGCCAGCTGATCCGGGGGGATGGGAGCGGTGATGGTTTTCTCTCTGGGCTCGGGGGGGAGGCCCACGGTCAGGTGCTTCTGGTGCGCCAGCAAATCAGAGCAGGCCTGGTCGGAGATTGTGACCAATCAGGAAAGAGCGGAAGGTTAAGAACAAACGAAAAAAAAACAAAAACATTTTACAGTTTAGACAGTGAATGCATCTACAAAGAAGGCACGAAATGGTTGTTTTTTTGTTGTGTTTGGACACGAGTTTCATACCGAGTCGAGCTCCTCCACCTTCTTCTTCAGCATGCCAGAGATCATCCTGATCAGGCCCCAGTGTTTCAGGTCGCCCGCCTTCTCGTACAGCTCGCTGAGCAGAGACCTCACTGTTGAGCCTTTACCGTGCAGCTGGGTGTCCCAGTCCATTCCCCTGAGAAAAGGGAGAAAAACAACACCGAGGCTTGGACCAAAGCACATTTAACCGAGAGGAGAACAGGAGAAATTCTTCTGCCATGCTTTAAAAATCAGGGATGATGGATCTAAAGACTTCTGAGGGAATAATCACTGCTAAAAAAAAAGAAAGTAGGTTTGGGTTTCATTAAAACTTTCCTCCCATTTTGGATATTTTAGTGAGACAATCCTAAACCAGGACTGCTGAGCGGTCAAAATCCTGAGAACAATCCTCTTCAAAAGGAGAGGCAATGTTTAAGTCATTAAAGCTTTAAGACATTCGACTCACTTGTCTTTGAAGAGGATGAACAGTATGTCGGCCTGGTCCTGGAGATTTTTCGTGTCTTTTAGCAGCTGCAGCAAAGCGGGGAAGTCGATGGCTCCGCTGGCGTCTCTGGGGATGCCACCATCTACTGTGATCTGCACCTCGGGGTTCTGGATGGGGCGGAAATGGGTAAAAGAAGGGGGGGGGTGGACGGAAAGCCCAACAGAAGGAGAGCTCAGCCACAGTGCAGCACATTTCTGGGTGTCTGTCCACTATTACCCACTCAGCACGGCTCATTTAGTCTTTTTCTAAATGCCTACACTGAGTTGCGTTTTGCCGAGTAGGTACCAATGGGAACCCCCTCCCCCTTAACACACTGGGTGGGAAGGAAGAAATTACCTGAGACTCTTCTTGAGCAGAGGTTTCTGGGAGATTCAAATTAAGCGACGGCTGACGAGAGCGGAACAGCTTGTTGGGCAGGTACATGTTGACGTCTGCAGGGATAAACAGAAACCCAAAGAGCTAAAGATAAAACGAGATAAACCCATGCCGTGGTATAACTTTTTTTTTTTTTTTAAAAAGGGCTGATTTGACAAAGCGGTGGGCGTCACTCACTCTGGACGTTGAGCCCTTGAGCCTTGTTCATCAGGGAAACCATCTCCTTAGTTTTGGTGGCCGCTGCCTTGAACCTGCCCAGAGCTCCCATCTGCCGCTTGGGTTTCTTAGGGGCCGACTGGGCCAACAGGTGGTCAAGGTACTGTGCAAGATCGTCCGCCTCTGGGGGAGGTGTGGGGAGGACAGAGCAGAGAGAATTGGAAGAGGGCCGAATTTAGAGAGAATATTTCAAAAAGGATTTATCTACTAAAAAGACGAGCTTACCTTTCTTTGCGGGCAATAAGAGCTACAACTACAGCAAAACTTTAGCTTTCAAACTAAAGACCTTAGTCCATGAAAAAAAAAAAAATTTTTCTAAGGAAATTTAGAAAAAATGTGTTATGTTATTTTAATTTTGCATTAAGTTGCAAGCAGTTTATTTGAGGGTTAGTTCACCCAAGGGGCGGCACGGTGGTGTGGTGGTTAGCACTGTCGCCTCCCAGCAAGAGGGTGCTGGGTTCGAATCCCGGGGGGAACCAGGACCTTTCTGGGTGGAGTTTGCATGTTCTCCCTGTGTCTGCGTGGGTTCTCTCCGGGTTCTCCGGCTTCCTCCCACAGTCCAAAAACCTGCATGTTAGGCTGATTGGAGATTGGGGAAATTGCCCTTAGGAGTGAATGTGAGTGTGAGTGGTTGTTTGTCCTTGTATGTCCTGTGTGTGGCCCTGCGATGGACTGGCGGACTGTCCAGGGTGTACCCTGCCTCTCGCCCGTTGACCACTGGGATAGGCTCCAGTTCCCCCCGCGACCCCATGAGGGAATAAGCGGTATTGATAATGGATGGATGGATGGATAGTTCACCCAACAGAATCACATATGTACTAAAGTCTGAATATAACTAAATATAGAGATATTCCATCTATTCTTGTGGGTTTATCCTCTAAAAATTGTAACGTATACAGCGGTCCTCTGAAATGTGTTTAATGCTGTACACAGGTGGACTTTTTTTTGTAGGAACAGCTATTAAAAGTGATGCATTCAGGGACACACAGCAAGTGTCAGACAAGCAACTGTAAACATTAACTACTCATGCAAGAGAAACCTTAAGTCTTTTCCTTTTTTTTTTCATTCCTCTGCAAAAACAAGACATTTCTCAGCTTCGTTCCAACGTGCCATGCAACTGTTTCGGCATGCACGGCTGGATTCTGTCGTATAGACGAGAACTCTATGGACCTGAGAGTCAACGCTACATGGAGTTGCGACACTAGATAGCAAGAAAGTCAGCGAGGAAGTGACGAAATAACACAGGAAGTAGTGATTAATGGTTTACTTAGTTTTAGTCCTGCTGAGGTTACAGGGTATTTCTGTTAAATTTGTGCCTTTTTTGGGACGGGGTTAGCTCATATGCATTAATTTTGATGATAGATAAGGAGTTAGAAAAAAGATTATGACAGAACATTTTGAAAATTAGAGAAAACGTGATGGCATCTCTATTTAGTGTGTCAATTTTGGGTCTTGGCTGGTTAAATGTGGTATGAGCAGCATGTAAAGGCAATAGTAGCCACATTTTCCTATGTTGATAATAATCAGAACAAAAGTTGGTGTTTATGAATATGTTTAAAAATAAACAAACAAAATGGTTCTACCAGGAAGGGTCAAAACAACAGTGAAAAACAAAGAGATGCCCCCTGGTGGTGTAAACATGTTCCATATTCTAATCCCCATTTTCCACCACAGCTGGTGTCAACATCCCCCTTCATCATCAGTCCATCGCTTTGCTTTCTTTTTTTCTTACCATCGTCACAACGTAACTCATGCACGTATCCATCGGTGTCACGCTCATCATCATCATCATCATCATCATACTCCTCGGCGTGGTGGCCCATGCTGCCAGAACCCTTACCGTCCAGGAAGCTGAGGTGAGCGCAGCAGCAGGTGGTCAGGAACTCCGAAAGCTTCCCTGTCTGAATCCTACAGGGGGAAAATTAACCCTGGTAAGCGTGAGGCGTCCCCATTTTAACTTTAAAAAGTAAAAACTTTGGCTAATCCCCCAAACTCCAAATACTTTTTATATAGAAAACAACTCCTTAAAGGAATTAAAGATACTAAAAGACTGGTGTTTTTAAGCAGCGCTGAAGCAGGGAAACATATTCATTTGTTAACATTCTATTGCCGTTTCTTTGGAAGTGGACATTTCTTTCTTTGAGGGTAGGAAATTAAACACCCGTTTGCTCACCTCGCTCCTCCATAATACCCATCCTGTAACTTCTTCAGAGTGGCCAAGACTGCGGGGTCTAGATCAGTGTGATCTTCAGCTGTTATAGGGCCAAACAGAAGGGTTTCGTATCACGTGAGGGATCTCTCTGACCCTTCACAGGTCACGCAGAAGGTGAGAGGTGCGTGCTCACTCAGCATGCTCTGCGAGATGGGGAAAGTGACGGTTGGTCGTCCGGTCATCCTCCATCGGGACGAAAGGTACGCGATTTCCGTCCTCAGCATCTCCACGATCATTTTGTTGTCCAACGCCATGTAGAACTGCTGGTGGTCTATGAACTGGGAGGTTTTAAGAGTTGAAACGAAGGGGGGGCCAAGACTATTAAGGTCATTCTCTTTTTTGTGGAGACAAAAAAATTAAACAAACAAAATAAGAAAAATAAATAAAAAACCAACCTGGGGTGTGAAGGAGAAGATTGTGTTCCTGATGATGTAAAACTTGGAGGTTCCCAGCACGCCTATCCTTCTGTAGGGGCGTCCCGTCAGACCCAGCCTCGGGTTACGGCCTGAAAAGATAGAAGGAAGAAGGACTCAACACCCGCACATTGCTTATCTCTGTCGTTCTCAGTCAGTTCTATGCTGCCATTGGACCTGAGACCTGGAGATTCTTGACTGAATCACTAAGTCACTAATCTTAGAGTTGAAACTCCTTTTAGTTTAGAAGTTCTTCACCCAGTCCATCCCACCTCCGCCTCTACATCCCTTAGCTTTTATCTCCTATTTCATTATGAGCCTTTAACTTCCTTTTTTGTGATGTCGCCCCTCCCCAGCAGGCTTTAAGCTCATGCCCTAACTCGTCTCTAAACGGCTCACAAGGAGACACGTTTTCTGAGCCTTTAGTGGTGCGGTGGTGTGCTCTTTTGCACAGAATCAAAACCACTCTGCTAAACCTATCTATAACTCCTCTGAAGTTAAATCTGAATTCAGTCAGATTACAGAGCAAGTGAACAGTGTGAGCTTTACTGCCCCCTAGAGATGTCTGACATTTCCTCTGTTGTAATGCCACTCATTGACTCATGATGCCGATTTGACATAACGGAGTTCATGAAAATGCACAGCTAAATGATTCAACTTAAAGATGTGAACTAGTTTTAACAGTTCTCCCAGGCTAATGAGACATTTAGAAAATGGAGAGTGAAGCCCTTCTAATGCTTTCCTTTTAGATTAAGGTGTAAAAAATGGTGATAAGAAAAAGAAAATCCCAAATTGTACCAAGTCTGGCATAGATGTGGCTGAGGACTCTGGAAGGCTGCACGTGTATGGGATGGATGTCGGCCACCGTCTCCACCTCTAAGCCATTCTTCAGCAGGAGCTCCTTAATCTCCTCTGTCTCAGCCAGGATGGACACTGAACAAAGAGGAGAAGTGTTTTAAGACTGGACCCCCCCCCACAAAAGCAGCCCCACTCACCCCCTCTGATTTTTTTAAAGAATAGTAAACCTTTGAACTCACCTTGTACGACCACGTCAGGCTTGGGGATGGTGGAGAAACGTCGATTGAGGGGGTCAATTTCTCCAGGGGCAAGAAAGCCCTAAAAAAATGAAACATAAATAAGAATCTAAACTCTGCAAATGAATAAACAATTAGTCTAAAGGCCATTTAGAAACATCAACATGTGTTCAGGGCTGTGGTTGAACACAAGATTAAGATTAACACTAATTAAGATTAGTCATTTTACACCATCGACAGAGCTTAACAGATCATCTTTTCTTTAAAGGAATCTGTCATAAACCATTTTTTTTATTTTCAAAAATAACTATTTGATAAATTAAATGAAATTACTTTGAATTTAGCTGCTATTTTTCCTTTTTGGCTTTCTTTTACTGGTCGTCTGCATGTGCTCGTTCTGGGGACTCTCTCTAAATCTGATCTACAACTGTCCATCTCTGCAGTGGCCAGATCTTGAGAACTTTTGTGTCCTGCCTCTTTCGTCGCTGGACGATTAACATGATGAGAAAAGAGCTCCAGATATCGGTCATGTTTACCTCTGCTAAGAGTTTTCCCAGGATGTACAGAGACTGGCCCCATTTCAGGGGACATTTACCCATCGGGACCCTTTCCACTGAGTGAGGGTTCACGTACTCCTCCTCCACCTGTTTGTTAGAACAAACACAAGATTTTTTTTATTCATTTAACAAAAATTAGGGCAAAAAATGAGAACACAATCATTTTGATTATTAACAGAAAAACAAACAAACTATGGGCTCAATAAATACAGCCTATTAATTTCTCACGCAGAATTAATTTCTAACAGACTGGTCGCAAAGGTGCACACACTCTAGCCCAGCAGGTAATGCACCTTAAGGCAGTTCTTCCCAAAGTTTTTACGTCAACAGCCACAAAGGATTTTTTCCGAAATGTCAGGAGCAAAATAAATAGGATGGGCCAGTTTCGCGCCATTGTCCTGCCAATGTTCTGCACAAGAGAGACACACTGGACCAGTGTTTCTCAGCCCTGGTCTTGCTTTCCAAGTTTCCCAGCTCCTGCACACCTGGTCCAAATGAATGGGTGTCTGTCAGCCTTCTGCGAGGGTTAAAGATGCAAAGAGCTGTCTCGTTCATTCAAATATTAAAGGATTGATGAATAAATTAGCACTCTCTCAGGAACTTCAAGGTCATGGATTTTGGTCAAATCAAACTGAGACTAGACAGATGGGTGTAAAGACAAAGGGCGACATTGTCTACCACCTGATTGGCCCGTACAAATGGCCATCGCGAACAACAGAACTACAGACCTGTGTTTCAGTTTAAACCTGTGAAATGTCAAACGTTTGCTGTGTCAGTAATTGCTATTTGATATGTGATAAATTCAGATGAATTCATTATAATGCCCCTAATTAATGAAATATTTTTGTTATTGCATCCGACCACCAATACAAATACTTTTGTATGAAATGAACGCACACTTGCAGAATTAGACAACAACAATATAACTTGCAGAATTAGACAATAACAATATTTCACAAATGCTGTTCATATTCGTCTATCCTGGCTGATTCCATCACGTTACACCTGAAAACAAAGAACGTCTGTAAATTCATCCTGAGGGACCGTTTAGGACCAGATCTAAGAAACCTTAAGCACACGCAGTCGTTTACACCAAGGCAGCTAAACAAAAGGTGAATGAAGCCGCTGCGTGATCAAAAGGAAAAGGCCATACCTTATCAGGAGGGACACTGTAGAGCTCTGGCACCAGCCGAACCCCGTCCTTCTGTTTGATCAGAATCCCCTCCAGTGCCTCCTGATACTCTTGCACCTGGATTGTTGCAAACAGCTACTTAAAATCCACCGAGTGTAGCAAATAGAACGACAGCACAAACGCACACGAAGGTGTCGCTTACCTGCTCTTGACTGTTGCTAAAAATGCCGTCCAGGATGAGGTAGGTCCAGAACAATGGCCACTCGCACTCTATGTTCTCAAACAGCTTGAGCTCTGCAGACTCGTAATACAGTCTGTTTGGATCCTGTGCAGGGGCAGAAACACTATTCAGCTCAGAGCACACACATAATCTGCATTACTTTAGAAAAAAAATAGAAACTGAAAAAGCTGCTCCTGCTCATTATGTCAAATTAAAGTAGAAAACAAGTTAAAATTTCAAATATGATGGGAATCTTTGAGTGAGATCGACAGTGACAGAAGGGCTGGTGGCATCACTGGATGTCATTGAGGTGAATACAATAAATCGCACTTAACAAGGCCAAGATTTCTTTCTGTTGGATGATTTAATAAGGACTGATATGGACCTGGGTTATCAGCTTTGAGGGCTAATTTTGGTGGTTGCCTACTTGTGAGAAAAACTATAACTAATGGCAATCTATCTGTACCACGATGCCTGTGGGCTGTGGGCTCGAGACACAAATTCAGAGATATACAAAAAAAATGCATTAAATAAATAAAGGTCAATACAACACCTTCTCTTGAGCTTGCACAGGAGTGTGGAATTCCTTATTATATCATAACTGGTGTAAAACAATATATAATAATGCTTTCATTCAATTTGCCACTTTGAAAATTACTTAACCATCATAAATCCTTCAACACGTGACTGTAAAACCATGAGGATTATTGCTTTTTCACCAACTGTTCAGGAGTTACAGAACTAAGATGCAATGGGAATAGTTTCTGTGATTGGATGGCCACATAAAAATCTTGAGTGGTGACGTAAAGACTGGTTTTGGGGTGCAAAGCTCTGCGTGTGTGTGTGGTTGTGCATCTTTTTGTGGTCCAGTGATGGACTGCCGACCTGTCCAGAGCGTACCCAGCTTTCCGGACAGTTACAGCTGAGACAGGTGTGTGTGAGGGAGAGTTAGACAGGCCGAACGAGGGGCTCCCCTTTATGGGCCATTTACCTCTTTAGGTGTTTTATGTCCGTCTCTGAGAAACCTGCAGCAGCCGTATCGTCCCTGAACGAGAGACAAAAGAGGTCAGCAACACTTTCAGCCACAAAGTGCAGAGTGGCAGTGTCTGTGGAAAGGTACCACAAGCAGGTGAACAAGCAGCTCTTTGTTTGAGGGAAATTTGGAATAAACCAACCTAATGAATTCCTGGCTGTTTCGTGATGCATTTAATGAGCTTGTGAAAACTACATAAAGACGTAAATTTTAGTACTTGATATAATTTCAAATTATAAATAAATAATTTGTAAAAAATGCTGTTCTTAAAAGCTGAAGTATTTTTTTTTAAACTGTAAAGCCTAAAAAATAACACTTCAGCTACATTTTTAATGTTTTTTTCCTTATTTTTACAACCACACACCACACATTTGTAGAGAAGGAAAATTATTAGTGTAAGCAAGAAATGTATCATTATTTGGAATTCTATACGTGTCTACTGCCCCACTGCTAATGACTGTAAGCCCAAGTAAAGTCTCGTTCCTTACTTGCAGTTTAGAGATGATCTCCTCCTTGGTCATGTTGACGATGCTCATGTCCTCGACGGCGAAGGCCGGGTACGTAAGGATGGCCAGGACTCCGGCGTCCACCTCTTTGGAGATGGAGGCCCTGGGTAACATGGACGTCAGGATGGACTAAAAAGGGAGGGAGATGGAGTGAAAAAATGCCCTTTTTTAGGATCATACGAGTGTGTGTGATTCTTTCGGAGAGTGTTTGTGCAGACCTGACAGTGCTGTATGTCGTCGGCCAGCGCGTGGACCACCGATCCGGGGCCTCCTTTGGCTCCGAACAGGTTGAGTTCATCCAGCGCCTCCAGAGCTGCCTGGAGGATGAAACCAAGGACAACAACGGTTACAGTTTGTGTCCCGTGGTCTGCTGACACGTGCTCTTATATGTCAAATAAACAGGAAGAGCATATGATGATATTCAAACGTGCATATTAAGATTTCAAAATGATGTAGAGAGCAACTTAAAGATGCCGCATTCGAGGCCTCTGTTAAGATTACAAATGATTTAATCAATAACAGCGGAGAGACGGTGCCCAACATCTTAAATCTAATCCCGAGTGTGCACGCTTACTGAAGCGAGTACTGTGAGTACTGGGTTATTTTTGAGTGAGAGGCCATTCCAGGAACACCAAAGAGAACCCGATACCTCCTGTCCACTGCCAGCCAAGGACGGCCGCAGGGTCAGAAGTAGAGTTAGAGCCCAGCTCCTCCTTAAGCTTCAGAAGAAAAAAAATATTAAAGAAAATAATATATCTTTAAAAAAAAAATCCTTTTCAATAAATCCGTTTTGTTTTTTAATCTAGCAACCAACGGTTTAAAATAAATTCTTCTGATCCTTTTTTTGTTGTTGTTGTTGTTGTCCCCCCCTCAACATTAAAATCAAGGACTGCTGCTGATGAACTTCCAGCCCCAAAACAACCGTCCCATCTGATCCTGGGTCAGCTTGGAGAGTGCGGGTCGTGTAAATGTCAGCGTAAAGGCCGCTGCGGGGACCGGGCACCGTCCACCGTGCCAGAGGTATTTACTGCAGCAGCTGTTTAGCCTCTCGGCCCAGAAGCCTGGCTCTCCCTCGGCCTGCTTCCTGCCGTCCCTCCAGAGCCTGTTACCACGCCGTTTTTGCCCAGCTCTGCTCAGCCTGCCTGCTAACCTTGGCCGTGCCTATCGAGCTGGCATTGATCTCAGTGATGCCTTGGTTGGTTTTGTCCCCTCGCTCCCACATCCCGTAATCCTGCGGGCAACAAGAAAGGAAAAACCCAGAGTGAGGCTAGCAAAAAAAAAATAAACGTCTGGAAAACATGGAGGAAGGGGAGAAGAATGGGCACTTACAGCCACTTTATAAGCTGCCTCGATGTAGAACATGAGATTCTGAACCACGTCCACCTCATCTTGGGTGTAGATTATGTGAAGACCTGACAAAAACACAACACACTGACATTTGACAACAATCGATAACCAGCAGCTTCTTTTCATTTGCTCTTTTTTTCAGAAAAGATGCTCTAACTCCTCCCTAAAACGACATGCAAAACATCTCCTACCGGATGCGGTCATCTGAGCCAGGAACAGCAGGAAGAGCGAGGTGGCGTCCACCTGCAAGTGCCCCCACTCGTGGTCACCGACGACGGTGGCGCAGGTCCTCGGGTTGTACTTGGCGTGGAGTGAGTCTGAGGTACTTCGGCTGTATTTAAACTTCTCCACTTTGTCGAGCTGTGGAGGCAGAGGAGGGTAGGGTCAAGGGTCGAGGCGGGGTCAAGTCCCGGGTGGGTACGTCTCTACACCTCAGGTGCTGAACTATACCAATATAATTTCACTTTGAACACCAAAGTATCGTTAAATTAAACTGAATGAGAGAGAAGCTTAAAAAAAACAAAACACATTGACTTCTGATTTTTAAAGTCTGTTGGGAAAAAAAAAGAAAAGAAAATGCACCATAGCAGTTTAGCTATTCAGTAGCTATTTGTCTATCCAACAGGATGAGAACAGCTGCACGTCTCCGTCCGCATTCCAAATAGCAGCGAGTGAGAAGAAACCAGCATTGAGCTCAGTATAAAATGCCAAACTCCACCCAAATTTACACAAATGTCTCAACCCCTCAAGTTCAGAAGGCACCACTGACCGGGTGGGGGTGGAAAACTTCCCAAAGACATCTCAGTACATCCCATCTGCTCAAAATCTATGGACTTCCCCTTTATCTTTGATGTGGGGGGGCTTAAAATGAAAAGGTGCTTTGCTTTGTTTGGATTTGTCATCATTAGACTATTGTCAGGAGAATTATCTGAACAACAAAAAAACAACAAAAGCTAAGAAAATATCTTAATTGGGAGATTTCTTACCTGCCTCATTATGCACTGGAGGACGCCTCTCATTAGCTTAACCACACTCTGCAAAGATGGACATGGTCACATGAAACGTAGCGGGACAACGTCCAGCTTGGTCTTAGAGGAAACGGACGTGCAAACGTGCGCCCCACCTGCTCCAGCTCGTAGGCCTTGGCCTTGTCCTCGTCCCGGTCGGCGTTCTTCCTGTAGGCCAGGCTGAGGGCCCAGACCGACACGATGCTGTAGACGTTGTCTCTGACCCAGGCGTCCGGCATTTCCGCGCTGCCCGGCAGAAGGCCCGTCACTGGGTCCTGGCAAACACAGAGAGATCAGACAGTGGCGGGACGGATGCCTATTTTATGCCTATAAAATAAAAATATATTTTTTTTAAAAATACAGATTTATGCAGCCTTTAAAACCAATGCAAAGCACCTCAAGAAGGTCAATGGGTCTTTAAATCCGCCAGCCCGTCAATCTTATTTCCTGGTTAACCATGGCAACCGTGGAGAAAAGAGCAAAGAGATGCAATTTCCCAGAGGCAGAAATCAATACATTGGCAAGCGAGGTGGAGAGTGGACAAACGTCTTGTCTGGCAACCACAGAAGAAAAGCAAGGGGCAACGCGTTGTCACACATAATTGTGCAGATCACATTTGGAAAACCGTGCTTTGCTGGAAAGTGCCCTTTAATGTCGGCCTGCTCTCCCGCAGAGTAGGGAAATCCGATGCATTCACTGGTCATATCAACACAGCAATCCAAGATGTTGGCAGAGGCATGTTAGCGCTGGCTTCCATATCCCAGATTTATGGATCATTTCAAAGAACTATGTTGTTCCTGAAAGGGGCTTCGGGCAGTAGTTTCTTTAACAGTTGATTATAGGCTACTCGTCGGCTAATTCATGCTGGTAAGAGCCAGTGGCCGGTCATTTTCATGTGCCAGGAAAAATTGTTTTTCAGTTCTGTCCTAAATCTTCCGTTTGCAGGTCTTCCAGCAGAGCCAAAGCATCCATCGCACAGTATTACGCACGAGTGTCTCCACGGTGTGTAAATGTTTACTGCGGTCAGTCCGATGACTCAGACTTTGTCACAGTTTGTTTCTTTGTGGTCCACACAGGAATGATATCCTAGTTTTAAGTTGCCTTATTATCCTTATTTTTATTCATGTGAAAGACCACCAGCATTAGCATAAATAACCCTGCTGGTTTAAATGCTTGTCATAAAGTGGTTGATTAAAGGTTGATATGGAGGGAAATTAAGTGTCTGAGGGGAACCATGATGGCAGGTGTCTGCACATTTTCCCATCAGGTTTTCAGGTTTCAAGCCCCGTTTTGGGCCTATGCAACTTTTAGAAAAGGGAACAAAACAAAACAAAACATGTTTTTAGTTTAAGATGGGAATAAAGCGGATAAATTAAAAGTGAGAGATCTGGAAGCTTTACAAACATTTACAGAAGTGAGGGGCGGCTCAGCACTTTTTTCATACACGGAAGTGCATCAAAAAGTAAAGCTGAAACCCAGCTTAAACTTCTTTTTTCCTCCTTTTGGTTGATGAAGCAGTGCCACAACCCGAGTAATTGATCCTTCTCTGTAAAGGATGAATTCATCGAGCGTGAGAAAACTATACAAGCTCCGCCCCTACAGGACAAAGAAAGAATTACCGGTGGCGACCGTAACATGACCAGTTTTTACAAACACCTCCACAGAAACAGCAATCAGTTCACCAGAAATATCTCGAAACTCCTATAAAACGAACTACCATAATACACAATCTAATTCAATCCATTGCACATCTTCAATATTCTGTATCCTAAATGAAAAGAAAAGCCACATCACTTCTTGCTAAAGCTGCTGCCTGAAGAGAAGCCGAGTGTTCGGCTTTTCTTGATTACAGCTCACTGAGAGACACTGTAGCAACCGTAGCCGTTTCGACATCGAGTCAGCCATCACCACTAACCCTGAAAAACGCCAGACGAGGCGGTTTGTGAGTTTTTCAGCATGTGAACTGGAAGGAAAGTTAAGATTTCGTCCCTCGGACGTAACAAGGGTGGCTGTGTTCAATGTTAAGATGTGCCTTAGAGGGAACCATTGTGAAAGGTTTGAGATATCACCGGTCCGTGCTAAACCGGAATGGAGTTAAATTATGCCGGCTGTTGGCTTATGTGAAAGCTCTGCTCTCAATGGTTCCCCCACGCAATGAAGTGGACACAACAAGCAGCTGGCTTTGCAGCCACTTGGGACCAATTCAAGAAGTGACCTCACGGTCAGTTCATCCACTTTGTGCTATTTACAAAACAACAAAGCATGTATTCAGATGCTTCTGAGTCTAACAGCGTGTAATGGATGGCACTTTATATATGTAACCCATTTCTAAATAAAGTTAAATATCTTATTCTTATACATTTGTGAAAAAGTAACTTTCACAGCAGAATTGCTGCTAATCCTGAAGACAAACTGGACAGCCATTTTTTTTAAAGCCTTCGATGACCATCTTCATTGAATGTGGTAAATAGAAACAAATTTAAAATCCATTTCCAACACAAAAACAAAGGGAATCAGGACTGTATTTCTGGAAGATTGTACACTGGCTGAGATGACGGGTATGGGTGCAAGGGTTCATTATAATAGAAGCAACCCTTAAATGTCATTAAGACATTAAAATAACTTCTACACAACCACCCCCACCTATTTTAAAAACAAGACATCAACAACCCATGGATTTTATCGTCTTTGTTGTCTCTCATGGGGTAAAAAGCTCAATTAAAACCAGAGTTCGTTATACAAGGAACACTTTAATCTCTTAGTCTTTTATCAAGCAAGGATAGATTCTTGCTCAGCAGTTTATGATTCAGTCATTCACACAATTATCAAAAACTTCCAAATAAGCTATTCTTAGTGCCAGATGCAAAGATTTCAGCACTTAACATCTTTACAGTAAAAAAAATTGACTAACCGTGTCCAAAGATGGAAATGCATTTTACATCTTTTTTCGGAAAGTTAACTTTTCCAGATCTTAATGTCGGAAAAACTGAAATATCTCTGAATTACAATAAATAAATAGTTAAGGCTTGAAAAAAAAGCTACATATTTCTTGTTTAAACATCCCACATAAACAATGTGTAAACGATATTGAAAAGATTTTCAAAAGTGTTTTTCAGCATAAATATTACTTGAAACACTTACTTGAAAATTACTTGCAGACTTGAAACTTCTCAAAATGTATTACAAAAAAAAGTTCCTGATAACTGGGATGGAAGTTTAGATGCAAACTGTGCTTAGGGATAAATAGACAAATAGACATTTAAACAAAATCCAAAAGACAATAATGCGGGTGGAAAAAATGTAGATATTCTTACGTTTTGTAAAGATTATTGTAAGGCTCCACATACTTTATTCATGACATTGTTTTCTAATCAAGAACATTGCATGAACAGGAAACAATATATGACCACAAGGCTGCATGGCTTTCAAACCAAACTATTTTTATCCGCTTATTAGATAAAAAATACAATGTCAAATGGGTCTACTTCGCAGTGGCAGACACACAACAGTGTTTGATGACATGCACACTTGAGCAGAATGCGTTTGACAGAGTACCACAGGCTTGCGAAATGTCACTTCACGACACCCACGTCGCGCATGAAAACATCAGGTTTCAACGCGCCCCATTAAATGCAGGTATGACAACGCCACGGTTTCTGTAGACAAAACCGTCTCCGTTTAACCGTCAAGAACTCGGCATTTAACGTGCGGAAAATACATTAAAAAAAACAAGTTTGAAGGCTTACTTGGTGCCGCAGGATAGTTTGTTGCACTACCCGGGCGTAGTTGTCCAGCTTCACGCCGGAGTTGCTCCGACTTCTCATTCTGGCAAGTAAACGTTTCACTTCGGACGGCTTTGAATAGAAAAAAGGGAGGAAAATGACTTAATTCCGAAAGAAAACATGCATTTTTGGACTCTTTTCACAGCCGAGGAGGTCAGCTTTCACTTCGACCCGTCAAGCTGCAGCCTAGCTGTAGAATAGCCAAACGGCGAAAGCAAGTGGAAACCCAGTAACAAAAGCAGTAACCTGAAGCCGAGTTCAATCACTCAGCGGAAGCAGCAGTGTGACCGGATGTGTGGAGGTGACGACTTCAAACTAAAAGCATATCAGAAAGGAAGTGACATGGTCGTAAATTCTAGCGTTAACACACTTCACAGGTCTTTAAACTTAAATATAATGATTGCAAATCATCCTGAAATTGAACATTTCAGATTTTTCTGAAACCAAAAAGGCCTACTGTGCAAAACAAACGTGTCAGCAAAGATTATACATCATAAAACAATATTAAATAGCTGAAAAGAAAGAAAAATAAGTGTGCACTGATTACCAACAAGTGAAACCCTATAAAGGATGCACAATGATGCACAATGATGTTGGTTGAGTTATTTCATATAGAAGAATGCTATTGGAATTTGGTGTTAGCAGTACATTTCAAAATGCATGGGAGGAGTCGAATCAAACACCTAAAAACAGGATATTACAAAAAGAGACACAAGGTGGAGTAAGTAAAAATAAAAATGCTGACAGGCAACAGCCCAGACGTCTTTCAGGAGTAAAAATTCCACCACTGCATGAACACATCCATCCATTTTCTATACTGCTAATTCCGTGTAGAGGATTTGGAAGAGGTGGGGTACACCCCCATAATTTTTGCCAATGCAGAAATTAATGTTGGTCAATGAGGTGGAGAGTCGGAACACATATTTTTTTCAATTTTTATTCATTTGGCAGATGTTTTTATCCAAAGTGACTTACGAAGCAGACACAATTTTACAGTTATCATCAAATTGACAAAAGTTTCTCTAGAGGAAAGTCCCTTGTCAGAATCAGTGGTGGCAGCAAGAGAGAGGGAAGGAAGTGCAGAAAGAGTAGTAGGGGGGTACGGAGGTATGGGTAAGAGTCAGGATAAGAGATGCTCTTTGAAAAGAAGGGTCTTTAAAAGTTTCCTAAAGATAGAAAGGGTAGCTGCTGTTGTAACGTTTGGTAGGTCATTCCACCATCCTGGAACAACACATGAAAACAGTCTGGATTGTCTTAAGCATGTGTAGGCACTGCTGGATGACAATCCGTTGATGACCGGAGTGACCTATATGTGACATAGTCCTTCGCAAGAGGGTTCAAGTCGACGGGAGCCGTACTCTTAAGCAATTTGTAAGTGAACCTAGCATCAAGTCCCTGATGCTAGCAGGGACTTGAATTTGATGCGGGCAGCCAGGGCTAGTGAGTAAAGCTCAATGAACAGAAGGGTGACGTGAGACTTTTTGGGCTGATTGAAGACCAGACGTGTCGCTGCGTTCTGGATCATTTTTAACGGTTTTACTGTACAGGCTGGGAGACCAGTCAGGAGGGCGTTACAATAGTCGAAGCGGTAGATAACCATAGGCTGCACAAGGAGCTGGGTAGCATGTTGGGTTAGGTATGGCCGGATCTTTCTTATGTTTAGTAGTGTGAAGGGACAAAATCAAGTGACCGAGGTAACATTATCTTTAAAAGTCAGCTGGTCATCAAGCTTGACACCCAGGTTTCTTCCTGCCTTTGATGGAGTCAGATACAGGGATCCAGTCTGGATAAGAATATTGTGGTGTATGGGTGGTTTGGCTGGGAAAACAAGCAGTTCAGTTTTAGAGATTCAGTTGGAGGTGATGGGTTTTCATCCATTTTGATATGTCAGAGAGACAGTCTTAACTGTTTTCTAAAAGCAGGTGAAAGGTTTGATTAAAGTTTTTCCCACTCTGCGGAAGAATCTTGCAATAGTGCTCTTCTTTGGAGGGGAGCTTGGAGTCAGTTGGACTTTCAGACACCTCAATATAGCCTCATCGAAATCTGAGTTATTTGGTGTCACTGCAGCATTTAGCATGTCGTTCACACAGTCATACTCTTTGTTGAGGTCTTTAACCATTGCCTTGACGATTTCTTTCACGTTGTCATCATTTACTTTGAGAATGTCGGGTGTATCAGTCTTTTCCAGCACCTTGCTAGTCAAGTGAGTCATGATTCTCGGGATTTGTGGTGGGTTTAGGGAGCTTTTGCAATTTAACGAGGCTTCTCTAATCAGTCTCATGTAGAGGGCAGTGATGAGGTGGTCCGTCATAGTCTCAGAGTTTTCCCATGATTCAATATTAGTTTCCTGAACATCTGTGTTATAATCTGATGTTCTACTTTCCTCCTCGACAACGAAAGTGGGGGAAACACATTTTTCCTCACCATCAGCTTCAGAGAATTTACGAACGTCCAGTTGAAAACAAATCATTTCATTTTCAGGTTCAGCTTCAGAGGGCGACGGTGAACGTGAACAAGATGGGTTCGATGACTTGTTGCCCTTGTTTTGTTTTTCATGGTTTAAATCAAACAAGCTTATGTGAGATTGGAAACCAGAGTGATCTAATACCAGTTCAGACCTGTAGGTTTGTCCTGACATGTGCTTCCTGGTTTCCGGTCGAGCCATTTGTGTTTTTATCTGTCCAGTGCTATTTAAGGCACAAGACGCTTCTTCACAGGGACGGCTATCTGCCATATTGGCAGTCCACTGTAGCATGTTCTGGAGTAACTTTCCTACTGATGTCTCTACGATGACGTACATGACCTCAGGAGAAAATTGTAGGTGAGTACCGGTGTCCTTCTCCCTGCTCATGCTGCTGAGGGCAGAGTCAGAGAAAGCTCTTTCAAGAGGTCCAAGTTGATACGTGGGGGCCATCACGAAATCGTCGAAAATGGTATCAGTCAGGTTCTTTGAAAACTGTTTGATTTGGTCACTGTGCTTAATTCTTTCCAAAACTGTTTTGGTACAGTACACAGAGTTAGATAGATTGCGTAATTCACGAAATAAAAAGTCAACTTGTGGCTTAAGCGTCTCGAAATGAGGCTGGGGTTCCGGAATACAGTCTTCAGGATTGACTGGGATGTCTGTTTGCGTCCATTTAAAGGTCCTCTTTAAATCCTCCATAACTTTCTCATACTGCGATTTGGCATACTGGAAAAACTGGTCTTTGGTTGACGTTTCCTTGACATCATTATAGGTTTCGGATTTTGGGGTGATATAATGCACAACTTCTGTAAAATCAAAATGAACTTTTGTTAGGCCACAATGTTCAGATTCAGTTTCAGCAACTTCCTCAGAGGTATTGAAAGATGTTGGGATGTTTTCTTGTTCTTCACTGTCTTGCCGTTGATAAAATCTGTGAAGAATTTCATAAAAGCTGTCTGTGGAACTAGGCATAGAAATCAAAGATTTTACAGCCCTGGGCTCAAGGTCTTGTGATTTTGTGGTCACTGGGAAGTCCGGTTCAGATGTTATGCTTAGGTCTGGGGATACTGGGACTCTTTTCCTCGGCCAACATGGTCCCTTCCATTTTGTTTTCACACGACGCAAATGTTCTTTAAGATAGGCGGTGACATGGAAAACCATGCAGTAAAGAGATTTTTTGTTGGATACTGAATGATCTACGTACATGTCAGGTTGTGACTGCCGGCTGGCACTGTTCATAAGTTCTGAAATTTTGGAGTTCACTTTTTGTGAGATCTGTTTTTCCATCAGTGTCGTCAAGTGTGAACCACTCTCAAATTCCTCCTCTGGGACGTCAAGAGCAGAAGCAAGAGCAGAGGTGAATATGTTCCCAAGCGATGCGTCGATGATTTCCTCAGCTTTTAGAGATTTATTCTGACGTATGTACTGCTCAACAAGTGGATAACACACATTTAAAATATCAACGGAAAGAGTCTGTATGATTTCAGCAATCATATCAAGTAGGATTGCTTGTGTGGCAGAATCGCAAATCCCAATAGAAAGCATACTCCACTGAGCTGAGGAGATTCGTTCCAGGAATTTGTTGATAATGACAGACAATTCCTCTGGTGAGATAAATAAATTGTTCGCTTGTTCGTTAATCTGCTCCATGGTAGAAATGGCCTCCTGAAATTATTCTTACTTCTGTGAAAGTGCAGTCAGATTCTCTCTCTGTCGCTTGGAATGCAGATAATGGGACTATACCTATACCTACGGGGGTAATATATTCAGGAATGACGCACGTCAGACGTCAGACGTCACAGAGGCCATCTCACTATTACCTCATAAATGTTAGCGCATGTGCAGAGGGGCATGCGCGAACCAACTTTGGCGCATGCTAAATATGACGCAACATTTCGGAGCATTTGGAACTTCCGCAAACTCAAGCCGAATAGACACACTGTTGTCACGGCAACGCGCACTGTTTGTCGAAGTCCACGTGCAGGCAGTTGTCAATTGATAGCCCAATTCTTTAGCCTGAGAATAAACCAAAGAAATGACCAGGGTACAAATGTGTAATTCATCCGGGGCATAGGTATGGCAATCCCACGATGGATTGACAGAACTCTCTGAGGATATATAATCTGGAGTCGCATTGGCATGAATTCCAGCTGACGTCAGATAGAATTCATGCAGATTCCACTGAAAATTAAAAACAAACCCGTGGACACGTCGTCCTTGAAGCCCTGTATCTAATGCAACAAGAGGAACCGGTGAATGCAACCAGAGGTTTGAACAATAAAAAAGTGACATCCACGAAATAGCCGAGCATTTTATAGGTTGCTTATATATCTTCCAATATTGTTCAGTCACATGTAGAACAATTTTACTTTCAATTAAATAGATACACCAAACAGCATTTAACATCATGATAATCCTGGTAATCTAGTGTAGACTCACATCATGCCACGAAATGCACTTTTATTGAAAAAAAATATATATCCATGTGCTCCAGTGTTTTAACCCAGAGGATAGCAACACAAGCTCCCCTTTGTTGTGTGATGATTTTCTGTTTTTGTTTGTTTTCTATTCCCATATCAACCCGTATTTTAATTCATTAAAAGATGCATGGTCAAATCTTTAGGACTTTAAGTTGATTCAAGGAGTAAATGGGCTCCAGCCACACCCGTTGCCCTACTAGAAATAAGCGATATGGAACATTTATGAAAGTATGGTCAATTGGATCGTAACTGTTAAAAGACTACAAAAAAAGTCCCACAATGCACTAGTTTCCTCGTCCGTTGCGGTTAAATAATCCTCCGCGCGCGGAACGTTATACTCGCCTTTGAGGCTCTCTTTAATGACACGCAAAAAAAATCGAAAATATAATAATTCAACCAAAAAGAAAAAGCATACAAATTTACACACGTATGAGAAATTTTACTTTAGCGTTTTAGCTTCCAAAATAGGCTCCAACCCAGTGGTTTCCTCTAACGTGGGGAATGTTGACGTTGTAACACCACAACTTAGACGAAGGAGCTCCCCGCATCTCTTCGCCTAAACGTCCGTCCTAGCTGCGGTCCCTCTTTTAATCACGACCATTTATTTTACCGAACCTCAATGAGTAGCCGGTCGGACAGCGACGATGAGAGCTGCAGCAAACGGAGAATTGCGTACGTTTACAGTCCGGAGTACGTCGAGACTTGTGACTCTTTATCCAAAGTACCGAACCGGGTGAGTTGCTTTGAATGAAAAACGTCCAGCCAGCTTCTTGGTTTTCAGGTACACGTTTATGAAAACAAACAGACTCGAAGTGATGTTTAACGGACGATTTTCGCTCTCCTTAGGCCAGCATGGTCCACTCACTGATAGAAGCCTATGGACTGCTTCAGCACATGAGGTGGGTTGTTATTTATGTGTGTGCTAGAATTTTAAACAGAGAGAAAAGGATGTTATTAGACAATAATGAATTAACGTACAATCAAGCAAGTTCGTATTCTTAGCTTTCCATAATACGAGCCTTTCCCTATGCTAGAAAGATCTCTTCCCAATCTGAAAAACACTCATATGCAGCCACTTTAATTTGGTATATTTTGATTAATTTTTTTACTCTCCCAGTCCGGTTGTAAACATGCAAGAATAGTTGATGTGTATTTGCACAACGACAATCGGGTGTGAAGTAAAAAGATCTAGAAACGGAATGAATTAAATCTACATTAGTTTAAGCGTTACTTCACTCATCAGTGATTTATATTTGGCCAGACAACAAGAAATAAGTAGCAATGAGACTGAAACAGGATTTCTCTAACCCACAATCCTATAGTAGTTGGAAATAATTATTCAGGTCTTTTGGAGAACTTTCTAAAGCAGGATGCACCAATAAGGTTAAACTCTGAGGAGGATTTATCCCTCTATAAAACCTGTTGCCACTGATTATCGCTACACTTCCTGTGTTATTTGGCATGGATCAGCCTTTTCTCCTTTTTTCCCTTCCTTTAAAAATGACTTCTGCACAGTCACTGGAGACTATTTCTCATTCCTTCCAAGGTTTTAGGGAGCGTGAACCAAAATTTTCTCATCTGGGGGTCTCCCATTGGTGGAATGACCTAATAAATATCATCTGAGCCCCATTCTACCTCTGGACGACTCTTTTCTGAGAATAACTCCTTCCATAAACATACCACTAACCAAACTTATCACATACGGCCTCCTGGTCTATGGGTTTTCCTACTGGGAAAGGACCCCAAAGTTTACTCAGTAGAACTAAATGGAGATATTATTATATCCCTTCTGGCCTGGGAACACCTTGGGACAGAGAGAGGGATTCCCTCCTGTCTTTTTAGTTCTAAAAACAGGTTTATGTGGAAGTGGAACGCACAACTCATGTTGTTGTCCCCGGCTCTCTCCAGCGTCGTGAAGCCTCGCTTGGCCACCATAGAGGAAATGGCTAAGTTCCACACCGACTCCTACCTTGAACACCTCCACAAGATCAGCCAGGATGGAGACAACGACGACCCCCAGTCAGTTGACTACGGCCTGGGTGAGTAAAGCAAAGAACTTCAAACTGTTTAACTCGCGATTGTTGCCAATTACATTATAATTGAGCATTTTAAGAAATACACACCCCTTTCTAAGAGACCATTCAAAATACACTGGTCGTGATGCATTTAAGCCAAACGAAAAAATGTGGGAAAAAAGTTTACCATAAGTGAATGTCTTGGATTTTCACAGTTTGAGAGACACGTGCTGTTGTGTTTTGCAATCTTGGGATAGTGAGTGGTCCTTCATGCTCACTGAACACACAGTTTGTGTCAGTTCAGCCTTTGGTGTGGCTCTAAGTTTCACAAAAAGGAGCCAGGGTCTAAAGATGGGGCGTGTCTTTGTTAGCGTCCACCAGAGGGCAGTGCAGCATTTCTATTTAGAAAAAATGCTGCCTAAACCAGAAAGTATTCCATGCAGTTACTTTTTGCTATCATTTTCACCCCCTTCCTTTTTTGTTTTTTTGAAAAAGCAGTGGGTTTAAAAAAAAAAAAAGAATCTCCTACTAGAGTTTGAACCACAGAGGTTCACATTTCTATTCAATCCAGTTAATTCCTTTCCTTTTTTCTAGCCACGACTTGTTCCCCGTCTTTATCTGTCTGCCTGTAGCTCCTTCCTTTCGCCCTCCTCTTTCATCCTCTCTTTGTCTCTCCAAACTTTCCACTGCCACTTCCTTCTTTTGTGCCTTTGAGTTCATCCTTCCATCATGTTACCGAAGCGACGCTCTCCACCTTCTGCTGAACTCGGACGTTTCCCTCTCTGTCATGTCTTTCCTCCTCCTTTTGCTGGAAACAAATGTTTCCACGCATCATCTCTCAGTCAGTCTTCATTCATTTCCTCGTGGAGAAATCGCTCCATTTTATTCCCCGTGGTCTCATCTGTCGTTTTAGCCATGTCTGGGTTACCCACGTCTGCGTATTTTTAAAAGCCACACACACTTAAACTTCTCTTGCTGTTCTCCTTGTGAACTCCACGGCCCCTTTTTCCCCTCCAGGCTACGACTGTCCCGTTGTGGAGGGCATCTTTGACTATGCGGCGGCTGTGGGTGGTGCCACGCTGACAGCCGCTCAGTGTCTGCTGGACCAGAACTGTGAAGTGGCCATCAACTGGGCAGGAGGCTGGCACCACGCCAAAAAGTGAGAGGATCGCTTCTCGCACGAGCATACCTTTTTTTTTCTCCTCCTTTTTACGAATATACAATATTGTCAGAATCAATGATGTCAAAGTATTTAATCATCGTGGGTGCTGTTCATCTAAAGGGAAGCTATTATCTGGAGAAATTCACAAGATGTAAGCAAGGAAACGACATAGAATGGGGATTATTTTTTATTAATTATTTATCTTTGATAGAAGTCACATTTATCTTACATGTGTCCCAGTTAGCTTACTCAAGTCAGAAGGAATTATTGTGAGGATTTAAACTTTAACTCATTGACTGCCAGCCATTTTCAGAACAGAGAGTCGCTCACTGCCAGAGTTTTTTGAGAATTTTGACGGATTTTTCAAGAGCCACAGAATAGTTTGTGCTATGACTATGTAAACACCGGACACACCAAAAGAAAGAGTAGACTCTCTTCTTTCATCAGGAAAAAAGATTTTGTTTCTACCTTATTCCGTTCTTCTTCGACGTGCGTCTCACCGGCGCCATTTCTCTCATAGCGAACCATTGCGTTTGTTGTTATTTGCTTACAATCTATGCTCATCTCCCATCAAAAGTGGCACAGCTACCTAGAGGGTAAATTTGTTAGTCCATACTCTGTCTAGAAGCCGATATTTACGGAAAAACTTTCGCCGATCGTCCCCCAAGCCACTCGCATTGAAAAACATAAAAGACGTCTATAGACGTCTTTGGCAGTCAGCGGTTGGATTTGAAAAGACGTCTATAGACGTCTTTGGCAGCGAATGAGTTAATATACACATATCTATCTATCTATCTATCTATCTATCTATCTATCTATCTATCTATCTATCTATCTATCTATCTATCTATCTATCTATCTATCTACTTTGAAAATGATATAAGTCAACCTGAAAATGTTGATAGCTGGCAAAAAATATCAGAGCTTTGCGTGTTGGTACCAACTCCAGAAACCTTCTTCTATCTTCATGACCCCTGTTCTCCCAGGGACGAAGCTTCAGGTTTCTGTTATGTGAACGACGCGGTGCTGGGAATCCTCAAGCTGCGGGAGAAATACGAACGAGTGCTGTACGTGGATGTCGACCTGCACCACGGAGACGGTACGCACAACAACCCCGATAGCTGTACTGCCGCAAGGCAGAGTTTTGGCCTCCTGTGTTTTATCTGTTACTCTTTTGGAATTCAGTCACATGTTCTTTTCTTTGCCGTTCCCTTTATCACCGTTCCCCATGCTGCTTTATCAAGGCGTCATAGTTTTTCTCCTCGTCTCCTACAGGTGTGGAGGAGGCTTTCAGCTTCACGTCTAAGGTCATGACGGTTTCCCTGCACAAGTTTTCTCCCGGATTTTTCCCCGGTCGGTCCCCCCGTGCGTCTCTTGTGATTTTAATTTGTTTCTGGGATGCCAGTTCGTGTCGGAGTAAGTTTGGGTGCGTTTTCAGGCACGGGGGACCTTTGTGACACGGGGCTCGGAAAAGGCCGCTGGTACGCGGTGAACGTCCCGCTCGAGGATGGAATCAAAGACGACAGATACTACCAACTTTTTACCAGGTACGCACAGTCAAACACACACACACACACACACACTGAAACTATTCATCACACAACTGGGAGCAGTTCCTTCAAGATTTGCCTTCTTTAAGGATCCCAGAGGAGATGAACTATTTTTTCTCTCCTCCCATGACTGCGTCTTTCCAAGAGGTCAAAGGTCAGGGTTGTGTTAAGGAGCGAGTGAGTGCAGTTTCAGAGTTTCATCAAGGACACTTTGGCCGTGACATCCTTTCATGGGGAGGGCTTAGAGTTTGACAAGTTTGGGGACCTAAAAAACACAAAAGCAAACAAGAAAAGTCATCTTTGGCTCGTTTCGGAGCTCCGTTTGGGTCGTTAGAAATTGGTCAGAGAGCAGCTGTCACTCGTCTATTTATATCCAAAGTGTTAATAGGAAAAAACACACTCTCGTTTGGGAGCTCTGGGACGAATCATGGGTTTTCCTAGAGACTGGATGTTTTTTGAGTCTTTAGGTCAACGGATGGTAATTACCGGAATTTCCTTTTAAGTAATGTGGCCTGAAAAGCCATTTCAGGAATTGCTCTATATTTCCTGTGAAAGAGGTTCTTTACCTCGTCTTTAATTTTTCTTTACATTCAGCTAAATATTCTAATGGCAAAATACATCAGATCAATAGTATTTATCATTCTATCAATCTACGTGAAAAAACTATTTATGTGAAACTGAGTTTCTACAATTTCTGATGAATATTGGGCATATATTATGATGTATAAAACCTATTCAGCAATGTGTTGCCTATGTTAGAAAAAAAATGTCCATCCCAAAGAACCTCAGGTAGGATATAAACTCCATTAGGTCCCTATAACAAAGGAAAACCATGGATTTTGTGTTCTTAAAGGAATGAGTTGGTCCCAAAAAAAAAGAAAATTCACAGTAAAAAAGAGGCTAAGCTAACCCCAACCCTAACCCCTATACCAAAAATATTAAGCTAATATTTCAATATAAATAGCTGCAGGTCGCAATTTTTATTTCAAGGGGTCTTGAAGCCATGCCAAGTAAGTCCTGGCCGCCATGTGTCCGCAGAGAGCAATAACCTGTTTACTGGCGTCTTGTTCGGCAGCGTTCTGCAGGAGGTGCGGGCACAGTTCAACCCGGAGGCGGTGGTGATGCAGCTGGGCGCCGACACCATGGCGGGAGATCCCATGTGCTCCTTCAACATGACCCCGGTGGGGGTGGGCAAATGTTTGCAGTATGTCCTGCAGTGGCAGCTACCTACACTGCTCCTGGGAGGAGGTACTCCATATGAACTTATTCCTCCCCGATTATGTTTTTGTTTCTGACGCGACTTTGCGCAAACCTCCAGGAATATGGTTATTTGAAATGTGGATAGTGCACTGTATCTTCTGTGTGTGTGTGTGTGTGTGCTTGAATTTGCTTTGAATTTCTCTGAGCTCTCACTTGTGTGCAGTTTCACACAAACACACACACACATACTCACACACGGTGCCCTGTTCCAGACTCCTCAGCCCTTGGCCAGATGATAGCTACTAATTATACGACACAATGAAGCCATTTTACTCAACTACAATCCAACCTCTCTTCCTTTCTCTCCCTCCCTCTCTGTCCTACATACTTTTTCTCTGCGTTATATCCTCCTCTCCTTCCCGGTTCTTGTCATTTTCCCTCGATTCTTGAGTCCACCTCTTCATCCCTGGCTCCCTCCCTCTCTTTTGTGTCTTCATTTCTGAGAGTTCAGAACCGGTCATCTCGAACGTTTTCACCTCAAAACTTTCATGTATGATACGTTGCACCGTAATCACCTTTTTTGCTTCTCCTCACAGCTGGTTAGATTAAATAAAGGAGCCCCCCCCATAAAGTTTGTATTTTTAGGGAACTTTGGCCATCACGCTTGTTACCTGACGTCTCTTTTTTGTTTCTTGTTTCTGCCTCCCTCTGTCCGGACAGGAGGTTATAACTTGGCCAACACCGCACGTTGCTGGACATACCTGACAGCGGCAGTCCAGGGGAAGACCTTGTCCTCCGAAATACCCGATCACGAGGTACGGCAACAAACTCACAAACCCGCGCTCTGTCTTTCCCCATTTACATATTCCCACATGAACACAAACGTGCTCTTTCACCATGCTGTCACACACACTCATGAAAACCGGCTGCTGACTCACTCGTCTAATCAAAGATGACGATTTTTCCTCAATAAAGGGGTCTGTCTGCTGCTTTTGGCACCGAGGTCGGTTTTTATGTACGAAACGATTGGAGCTCTGCGGAGCTGATCTGGAGTAAGCCGCGGGTAATCGCATAATGCGAGACTACCCAGCGAAGCAGGTGAATTAAGCTGCCTTTCAGGTTTCGGATGGTGCTGAAACCTTCCCTTTTATGGACACCGTTATCTGGATTATCGAGTAGCAACGCATACATCGGCTCATCGGGGCCCATGTAAATATGGAAACCGAAGCCTAATCCGGTTCGGTTGGTTACATTTGAAATGCAAACACTATTTGTGAATCAAACACGACAGAATACGGCTGACTTGTTAATCCATTTAAATGCACGTCACCAATAACTAGGAGTGGGATGATACACTCACCTCACTGTCAAGAAAGATAAGGCACTGCCATGTTGACCAGACAAAGTCCCCCCATTACTATACAGCACACTTCAAAGACGATACGGAAAATGACATTTTTTTTGTCTTAGAGTACACAAAATAGTGCAAAACGGTGTGTGAACGACATATGAGCTTTACACTAATTCTGGACATTACTGACTGACTCAAGTCAAAGGGTTGAGGGGGTGGGAAATAAAACTGGAATCCATGAAGGCCAGGCCTGGCGCTTAAGGGGGGCTTTCCATTTTGACCCACCCAGCCCTCCTCGGCTCTACTGGCCTCGCTTTCCGTTTCAGATCAGACTCTAACGGAAAGACAGGCCAAACCAACCATGACATCATTGGTGTGCGACACAAGGATGGATGCATGTTGGAGCGGGGTGTTGGTTCATGTGTTAGGACTTCTAAAGCGTTGTTTCCACGTTTGTCTGCAGTCTGCCGTTGGCTTGACTCAGCCCGTTTGGAAGGTGCTACAGTTAGGGTTCGTGTTAGTGAGTTGGTACTGGTGGGAAAAGCCCCGTTATTGAAAGGTTTTGAGTTCTTTTTGGAACGAAAAAACCCAGTACGCAAGCACGACCCTGAACCCTCAAGCAGGCGAAAACCTAAAGCTAGATCGGCAAGGATATCTCGACAAGCATGCTCTATTTTTTTCTCTGAAAAACGCAGGTTCAGCGTCTGGCAAATTGTCCCTGCAACATTTTCAGCCACATCTGGGGGAGGCAATTCTTATTTGAGATCATCTGGTTCTGTTTTTGTTTACGTTTTACCCCGTCACCCGGCTTTCGCGGCGCTGGGGTTCTCAAGGGGGTCCTCCCTTCAAACAGAACTCTCTGGGACCATCTGTCTCTCTTGCGCCTATACGCTCCCGCGGACAAAGAGTCCCTTTCTCCGGCAACTGATTTTTGGACCTCGTCTTGGTCAAATGTAATGAATCGCCGAGAGTGCCTGTGTGTGTGCGCGCCTTTGTGTGCGTGTGTGCGAGCGTGTTTGGATGAAATGAAGGTGCCTCTTGTTTCTCCTCGTCGGCGTTCAATGGCCTTAAATAGCCTTTGACCTCATTAAGGAGCACTCACCGAAAACAAAGCGGCTATCAGTGCGGACAGCTGCCACGGATGATGAAGACCAGGAAGCTCACAGGCACACTGGAGTTGAAAAACCCACAAGAAGGGCTGCCTTTAATTAAGCAAAAGTGTTTGCGTCTTCATTTGTGTGCTGTTTTCAGGTCTATTTTTTCCATTTGGTCAGGAGCACAGATACCTTTGTGTGTCAAAGAGTGGGTTCGCCCCATAAGAGGGGCATTTATCCACGATGACCAAGCAAAGCTGAAGTCTCAGCAACACGGGGAACAAAAACTACCTTTGTACCCCTCTGTCTGTGTGTACATGTGTGTGTGTGTGTGTGTGCGTGTGTGTGTGTGTGTGTGTGTGTGTGTGTGCGAAAGAGCGCGTCTCAACCTGCCTGCTCTACTGTAGACCACATGAATACACACATTCATTACCATCAGATAATGCACTGGCCTGTTTTAAAGCGTTATCATGCGATTCATTGTTTGATAAATTGCCGTACGTGTGGAGGAAACAACTGTTGATAAAATGGGAAACTAGCGAAAGCTCTTTGTTTCCTTTAAAAAGACTTGACTCCAGGCAAAATAAATTTTCTCATTAACAAAATAATACCCGAAAATGACAACAACACGTTGTACTACAAAGGTTTTTGTTTGTTTCTTTGATTTCGAATTTGAGCGGATATTTCTCCAAATGAGCGTGTGCTGGTTCATTGGATAGAATATGATTAAATATGATTGAATTGTATTTAATTCATTGTATTTGGATGAAACCTTTTCTTGTCTTTTTATAACTGTATCATTTGAGCTGAAAAATTTCCACAAAAGTTTGTGCTGGTTGGATTGGTTAGAATGCATCTAAGTTAAAAAAAAATAATTAAAAGAAAACCTTAAACAACATATTTTTTAAAAGCATACAAACGCTGCACGACAAACTTTTTAAAAATAGCAGTCTGAAAGAACACGGCCATCAGTCAAAGTTTGCCAGTCACATTCACAATGGCGCTGCACTATTCCCCGACTATCAGTCAAAACATTACACTGCAGATAACCCACACAATGGCTCTGCTTGTCTTACTTTTATTTGTGTTTTTATTAGATACTGACGTTAAATAAGTGTGTTTTTTTGTGGCTTGAACCAGGAGCTGAAAGTCATTAACCCCCAGCATGGACTGGTATTGTCCGAGTCAGAGGACAGCTGATCTTGATTGACCCTCCATTGTGTCCATAGCTGTAGAGCGTATCAGTGTGTGAATCGAAGGGAAACAATATGTGCCGGTCTAAGAATAACCACACACAGCTAGGTTGTTTATTATGTGCTTCTGATTGGACATTCATTTTTTTGGGAGGGAAATATACAGGTATTGCTTTTTCTCCCAATATTTGATGCCATTACGGTTTTTTTTGCAAATTAAAACAAACATCCAGTGGAAATACAGATAGTACCACTTAAAGAGATTCATCATCTTTCTTGAAATTGAGAATAGATTATATCAAAGTTGAAGGATTAACACTATTTGTTGTTTTTTTTACTTGGCAGAGAGATTTTAAATCCTGATATTCACCATAATTTAATCATGGCCAAATGTCACAAATGACCTATCAAAATTGATTTATTTTATCCATCCTTCCATCCATCCATTCATCCATCCAACCAGTTCAATTTATGGTCATAAAAGGTTGAACATGCAGCATGCAAGGTAAACATCAGAAAAATCTTTTATCTTCACACCCTGATCCATGTACTGTTGGATTTTAAATTAGACCACAATTTTTTCCTTTTACCCAACTTTTTAATTTTAGTTCCCCAACCTAAGGAGGATCCTTCCTTACTGATCCCTATGGCTTTTACTTGTAGGGGTGGATTGCTGTCATGGTCAGGAAACAGCCATTGCCTGAAGACAAAAGAAGTAGGAAAGAAGGTTGAAATCCCCCCCCCCCCTCCCCCAAATGCTCATCATTAATGTCCACATTGTTGTGTTTCAGTGATATATATATATACACACAGTATATAATGTATGAAATGCAACTCTTGTCCCCTTTTGAAATGGTCTGTTTGTTAGGTGTGATGGTGAAGCACGGCAGTGGCAGCATCATGCTGTGGTCATGTGGTGGGGGGGAAAAAACTCCCAGTTATTGGATCTGCAAAATTGACTCATATTATCATAATATATATTTTTTTCCACTTGAAAAACCAGTGTGGCCACAGGTTCAGATAATTTCTACACAGTGCAATGTCGGCTCAGTCTCCCCACAAACGCACAGATAATGAACACAAAGAGTTGCCAAAAAACGTATCCGCGGCTCGTCCGAATTCCCCTCGTCTCTGCAGAGAGCAGCAGCAGACATAAATACAAATGCGTGTCTGTCTCCGAGCCACACAGGAAGGGAGGACGTCTCTGGTCCCAGATTGGCAGGGAGGGAAGCGTCCCGCCTCTCTACTTCCTACTTCCTCTTTTCCTGTCTGCGTCCACTTCCCCCTCCTGCCCCTCGCTGCCGTCAGGGACGCGCCGGCTCCCAGAGCCACGGGCTCAATCAGCGGAAACATCACCGAGCTGGAGCTCCTACGTGTGTGTGTGTGTGTGTGTGTGAGAGACAGAGAGAGAGAGACAGAGAATCAGAGGCCTGTTGGGGGAAACTGTCCGTTGGAAAATAACAAATAATAAAGCCGATTATTTGATTATCACAGTATTGTGCGCTATTGTGAGGAGTGAACTTTCGGGCCCTATCAGATGATCTGAGAGGCTCCGCTTCCTGTAGGTTCTCCCCTCGGGGGAGCCCGGCCTTTTTCATGGTTGTCTTTTTTTAACGCCTGTTTGTTTTCCAAGTTCACGGACAGGCTTCGTCCAAGAGGATCATGATTCACCCTCTATTTTTCTGTCAGGCGAGATGTTTTTCTTAGCCAACTGGCCAGCATTCGTCATCCCGTACTTGAACTTTTAGGGCTTAGCTTGCTCCTAATTTTGTTTTTGTGTTTTTAATTCCTTCAGATAAGGCTGAGATTCTCCATTAAAGGGAGATACGCGCATCCATGAGAACACATTCCCAGCAGGGGGGATGAGATGGATGTTTTACTGGTCATTTGATCAAGGGCATGGGTTTTACATGGATCAAAAGCATTTATGGTGTATTATAAATTGCAATTGTAACCTTCTCAGGAAATGTGGAAAAGTATGATGCCCCATGTTTTCTTTGAACTTTTCAAAAGCGTTAGCGATAGTATTTTTGGGTTACAATGCCCTTTAAAGGAAAACTGTCAGATGGATTAAAAAGAGATGGATTGATGAAAAGGTAGGAGGGTGAGTAATAGTCCAGATGTTGAGTGAGCGGCGGGGGGGTGTACGTGCCTGATGTGACCACGATTCGGGCATGGAGTTGTTTTCCTTCTCGAAAACATTTGTTAGATAGAGGCTCGACAGCAGACGCAGTCCATTTGTTTTCCAAGACATTTTCCTCTCCGCTGTGCGGCTCGGCATCCTTCATAGCAGGAGATCCTGCTGATCATTGTAAAAACAAACACACACACACACACACACACACACACACACACTGCTGGCCACAGATGGGCTCGTGCTCACCAGCACATACTCCAGACTCTCTCTCAGGCTCGTTTCTGTTTCGTCACTTGAAAGCCAAACTCGTTCAAGCTGAGGCAAAATATGTTTTTGCCCAACCAGAATGGTTTGGACTTGTTTTTACAAATGTGTTTACTTTTCAAAATGAAAAAAAAAAAAAAGGAAAAACTCCAATTCCATGGCGAACGTGTAATCCAGAGCAACAGAAGCCACTATCACAGATTAAGATGAAATAAGTATCGTTCTTCATTAGAACAAACAAGTCATTTGATAATTGACAGTAATATGTATTGTTCTGTTTTGTGAATCGTTATACAAGAGAAATTTGAGGTTGATCGCATTGGTAATCATTTAGTCATTTAGCATAGTGCCAACTATGCCTTTACAGGAGTTAAAACACTCACTGACATGCTTGGCTAAGCAGAGTCACAAGCACTGCTCGTGAATTCATTGTCTCAAATTTAGGGTTGGAGGGTGCGAATTAAGCCTTGTTTGTGCAAGATGTCGACCAAAGAAATTCGCCTTTAGACCACTGAAGTGGTGTGAAATGTTTCAGCTGTGGCTGTTAAGTCTTAGAAAGTATCCGTTTTTGTACTCTTATTGGTTTTCTTACTCTTGTAATGCACAAAAGTGTGCCCAGTTTATGACGGCCACGTGTTTGCTTTTAAATCTCCAGAATTCCTGGTAAAACATGGTCCCTTCCTGTCAAATTTATATACTGATATCCTAAAACTCCCCCAATTCAAAACATCCCAAAGCCAAAACCAGGTTTCAGTTCCCGACCAAGCCGTCTAGCTCTTTTTGTACGCTTCCGTGATCAAAATCTGGATCGAAATCAAGAATTCTCAACCAGTGGTGTTCAATCTGAAGCTCACTTGATTGGCATGATTTCAACTTTTGATAGTAATGACAAAAGTGATAGTCAATACAATTGCTATTTATAAGAATTATAAGTTAAAGCCTCATACAACAAACAGATACAACAGATTAATTGTGCGTTTTCCCCAAAGTACAGTAAAATATTTACACTTTTCGACTGTGGTCTAAGCAAATGAGTCACACACTATTCATAAAAGCAAAAATATTCAATAAAATACTCTTTAAATGAGCTTTACATAATTTAGTACTGCAGTTTACTGATAGTGGAGACATTATTCCTTATTTTTATGTCTCCATGTCCTCTACGTCTCAATTTTTCTAACTGTAGGTTCCAGTTTTAGAACGTAAACAAACGTAAATTTACCCTGTAGGGGATCCATGATGTGAGTGGATTAGTTTGGAGCGAGGGTGGCGTGGTGGGTGAGGGGTTTAGTGCTGTCCCCCCACAAGCCGGAGGGGGGCCTTCGTGTGTGGGGTTTGGATGCTCTCCCTGTGTCTGCGTGGCTCCGGCCTCCTCCCACTGTCCGGGTTTTGAGTAATGGGAAGCGGGTCTATGGGAAGAACCCCCGGTAAAACGACCGGAGACCTTTCCACGATCCGTCTCACCACTCGGAGCCTCCCGCTGTTTTCTGTCTCCTGACCTCACCCAGGTGACAGAGTCCCCCCACCCTGGTCCTCTCTGCCACTCTCTGCAGATATATTCGGACGCTGTGTGTGCGTGTGTGTGTGTGTGTGTGTCTGTGTGTGTGTGTGTGTGTGCGCCTCCCTCTCCTTCGCCTCTTCTCCGCAATCATCCAAAGCAAACAAGCGTCCAGCGGGGGACCGTGCGCGCGTTCTCGTGTGTAACTGGACAGCAGGAGTCGGAGCACCGGGTTCATGGGAATGCGGCTAATACGTGTGTGTGCGTGTGTGTGTGTTAAGTAACCGCTCTCGTGTTTAGGCCGGAGGTAAGACACAGAAAGTCATCGGAGCTAATTGAAAACAGACCCGCTCGCATTAAAAACGTTCTTTTATCCCCCCACCCCCAACTCCGTAAGCAGGCATATGTCAGCGGATAATCACGCTCCCGCACGTGCACGGACCTTCACCTGCCTGTACTGCACCACGCACACACATGCATTCCCTCTGCCTGACTCACACAAAGTGGGCCAATTAAACAAAGATGGAGTTCTCTTATTTATTTCTTTATTTATTCGAACTCCAAATAAGCAGAAAAATAGTCCTGCTGCACATGGATGGTTTCTGCTGTGTACATCTGTTATTGTTTTTTTTGTTGTTTTTCTTTACCAACAGACCCACTAGGGTGTTTTTCTAAGTCTATCTAATCTGCAAAATGTGGAAAGCGAGACATCTGTTCCTTTTAAAATGATGAGCATCATCGGGCTTTTGTAGCTTGGTCGTATTTTCTCTCCAGCTCAATTTGATTGTCGTCGATTTCTTTTCGAGCTCGTCTTTTGACACGAGCCCTCTTTTCGATCCCGCTTTCCTTTCAGGGCAAGGAGATCCGCCCCGTACGGCTCCTCGGCTCCCCGTTCCTCATTTTCCAAATCTTGTTTCTTTGTTTGGTTTTTAGACTTCAGTCGCCTTGGCGCAAGGCTTTCATAACTCTTGCTGCGAGCGGGCTGACGTACTGTGGTCAGGCCAGGCCTCAGAGTTTGTTTTGCCCCTCGTGGCACTGCGTCACAGACCTACGATTCCCCTGGAAAAGTGTTATTTCTTTCTCAGTATTTCAACCGACATGCCCTCGGTTTAATGTCTGTTTGAAACCACTCTGCAGCTTTCCACCTGTTCCTTTATTTATTTTAAAAGAATACAAAATATTTTCTATATTGGCTTTAATGTCCAACTGCACGAAAGGCCAGAAGACCTTCACTTTTCAGTTGATTTACAAAAATCAGCTCTCAGGTCTGTGTTTTCTTGTACATGAAAAAATACGTTTAAATTTTGCCAGCAACCGCCACACTCTGATTTCAGAAAATACAAATAATGTGGCCCTTTGATTTTTTTTAAATTGCTCCTAGGAGGGGAATTTTAATAGGTCCAACTCTTTGTTTGTTCCAGATTGAAATATCTCATTACATATAGTTTAGATTGCCATGCAATTTTATGCAGATGTTCAGACCTTCTTTTAGTGATATTAGGTTACTCGCATTTGTAAATGTTTAAATAGTTTTTTTCAACTGCTGGATGGGAAATCATGTATTGCCAATCAATCGATCAATTATACTTTATTATTGATTTATTATGTGCCAACATCTGTGAAAACTGGATTGATAGTTGATCATCCAATCACTTCTCATATCATGAGCTATTTGACCAGAACAGCATGACTTATGACTTCAGATTTTCTTGTCATTAAAGCTGAGAAAGTTAAACTGCATCTATGCTTTTATTGGTTCTAAAAGACATTCTAAAAGTGGTTAAAACGGAATACAGTCTAATGTGAGGGTCATGTGAATTTGACGTTCATCAGTGTAACAGTTGACTGTAATTCTGTACTTCCTCACAATAGTATCCAGGTGTACAAAATATTGGGGGGAAAAAGAATCTTTTAAACTGGAAAATAGCACAGTTACTTATTGAACGTACTCCTTTTTATGGGGTCTTTTTTACATAAACATGTGGGAACATTGGATTATTGAACAGTTTTCATTTCATTTGTGCATATGCAGGAAACAAGAGCCTTGGTTTATTTATTTCTTTTCGGTGCCCAACATTATCCCAGAGAAATGTCTCTAAACACGCAGTTTAGTTGACAAAAGCCGCATGCGCCTGTGCTAGTTTTTCACAGAGTACGGACCCGACTACTCCCTGGAGATCAGTCCGAGCTGTCGGCCCGACCGCAACGACACCAAACACCTGGACCAGGTCATCGGCACCATCAAAGGTACGTGTGAAGCCTCTCTGTGCTCGGCGTACACACACACAGGTGCGTCTGTGCGGAGCGTGAGCAGGTGTGTGTTTTTTTTTTCCCCCCGTGTTGTGCTGAACCCCCGCTCACCTCTGGCCCCTTTTTGCTTCTATGTGGCTCTTTCAGTGCGTGTTTTCATGCGAGTTCTTTTAAACGTGCCTGGGTTTGATAAAAACTATGGCTTCTTTATGTCTTTCCTCCCCTCCCCTGTGGCTAGAACATCCTTTGTTTGTGTGTTTGTGTGCGAATACGCATGGTGTGTGACCTAATGTTTTTTTGTTTTTTTTTTACTACCTAAAACATCTCACCCGGAGTCTGGGTCGTAATTCATGTGGGTTTTTCGTTTTTTTTCCCCCAGCTCTGTCTGTGTATGGCTTTACGTTTGAACTGTTCATCTTTGAGCGTGGTTGTGTGTGTGTCTGCAGACTTGCGGTTTAGCCTAAAGCTGGGCTTTTGGTCTTGGCGTTGACAGCCCACAGGTCTCGGGGGGGGGGGGGCCCCTGCAGCAGGGTAAAGATTCGGTGAAAAGTTGACCAGCGACAGACTCGCTGTAAAGCGGGCGAGGGTCAGAAACGAACCTGAACGGGAGTGACTGTCCACAAGCTTTAGGCCCACGATCTGGAACTTGTAGAAAGCCCCAGTGTGTAGATGTGTTCACCACAGACCGACGGAACCGTCGTCTTCTCTTGTCTTTGGATGGGAAATGTTTCATTTGACATGGCAGATATCATTATCTTTTTATTTTTGGTTTTTTTTACCGACTAAGTTCGTTCAATGATTAGTTCCTGGATGTCATTTGCATCCAGTCAGTCCATTTCTGCTTGACTTGAATCCGGTCATGGGTTAAATGAGACTTTTTCTGCAGTGTAGGGACAGACGGAGCACATCCATAAAGAGCAACATGTTGATCCAAACAGCATTTCGTTCCCCGGGTCAGGCCAAATCCACGGATCGGGAGTTTGTTTGCTGAAATTCATTCACTGTGTTTCACTAGTTTGCATGAAGCCGTCACGTCCAGAAGGGTCGAAAGTATCGCTTCCTTTCGTTCATACGGCTTTTATTAAGGGCAACGCAGCAAACTGCTGGACGAACGGGTGGATGGAGCAAATCAAAGGGTGGAAAAATGAAATGCAGACAAGCAAAAGAGGACATTAGCATTTGACTCTCTGTTATCTGATCCCCCGCTATCTGGAAAGCCCCAATTGGAGTTAGACATTTTTCAGATGGGAAGATAATTAAACCTTTTCAAACCAGTTCCAGGGCGAACACCTGATTTGTCTGATGGATCAAATCCGTGCGCTGCCCTTTTTTTTCTCTCCTTTCTTTTCCATTTCATCTCTTAAATGAATCCTCTGGAATTTCTTCCCCCTTTCCTCTCCTACCACTGGCATTTCAGTCCCTCTTTCAACCTGTCACATCTGCTTTATGTCCCCCCCCGGTTTCCTCTGCGTATCACTTTGAACGACTTCTGCTTTCTGTCATTTCACATTTAGTCGGAGGCGACTTTACACGGAAAAAATGCACAGCACAGCACGCAACGCTCCACTATCTCGACGACGAGTTACTTCTTCGCTTTTGCAAATTCCCCACTCTCTGTTTCCCATTAAATAAAGACCCGCACGGGTTCTCTCCGAGCTGATGTATACCCAGACGCCGAATAGGAACTGGCTTTAATATGCATATACTCGCACTTACCTCGAGGCAAATATGTCTACATGACATCACCGGGGTGGATAAAGTGTTTCTCTGGTTTGGAAACAAAGTGCTGCTTGTAAACACTGGTTTCCCAGAGAAACAGGTCGGCGTGAGAGAGTGTGTGTTTTCTTATAGCTGAATAGAAACCGACCAGACTTTTGACCCCCCCAACTGAACCCGAACGGTACGATGAGCTTCCAGTAAACTCCCGATCCGTTAGAGAGATGGACAACCTGGAGCAGTAAACCAAAGAGAGAGTGACCAGGGGAGGGAGAGCTGTGCTCAGCCAAAGTTTGTGCCCACACCATTAAAACGTCCCTCAGCCCAACCACTGCAATCTTGACTATTTTGTGGCTAGTAAATGTTTTCCAGATAGGTTTTGGAGTACGTTGTACAGCCCGTAGCCTCTCAATAGCCTGTCATTATACAAACAGAACAAGAGACACTCAGGGCTATTTTTTTACATTATATACAAACATTTTTTTCAATTAATCACATTATTATGCACATGATTTGATAAATGATGTAGCTGTAGGTCTCATTTTAAGGTGCTGTTTATGAAAGAAGCCCCGATAATACTTGATGCAAACATTTGAACAAATAAGGTACTTTTTTTACTGCAGAATTCTCTTCGTATTTCAAAAAAATGTGGACACAAACATAATCCAATCACATCATTTCAAATCAAATACAAACCCAAAGTTATTAGCTGCTGTTCGTGCAATACAGCACGTTTTGGATTTGAATAATATCTCAACTGGAAGTACTACGACTATAAGAAAATTCAGCGTTGAGATGCTGACAAGATGAATTTTTTTCCTAATCAAATTTTCCTTAACAGCCCAGTATTTTTTCTCCATTCGGTCTTCATCAGTTGTTGTCTGTTGATATAAAGGCCAATGATTCCTATCATCATCATCATCATCATTCGTCTCAACCAATAGCGATCGAGAGCCAATAGAGATTGTCATCTAATTCTTTCTGTAATTTAAAATAAAATGTATTTCAATTTGGCGAATAACAACTTGCTATTTATGAATTATCTCTGGCTCACTGGTAATTTCATTGTAAATGACCGTTTGATGAAATGCGTTGGAAAAGGCGCCGGGCAGATATGACAGCACCAACAGAGCTGCACAACTAAGTGTTTTTTAAAAGCGTTTACGAGCGCCTCGGTTAAAAGTTGCAAATAAAGCGACAAAAATCCGGGTCATTTCTGTCTCAGACATCAGAGTCTTGTCGGCTTTTAAAATCAGCCCACTGAGTTCCCCTTTTCACGGGCAGTAGAATAAACAAAATAATACAGAGATTTATAGGGTTTACAATTTTAAAGCGGTAGCCGGTCCCTCCTAAATTTCCTCATGTGCTCACTGAGACTGTATGAATTAAATAGTGATCTTTATTAGGTGTTTTTCTATGGCTGCCAGCAGCTGTCTCTGTTTGTACATTCACAGCTCTGTGTTTACAAGACCGACGGCAGCATTTCCCTCGAGGCGACACTGGTGTGCCCAGTGTCACTGGTGTAAAGTTCCTGTGTGTGTGAGTGTGTGAAGGCGGAGTTTTTCGCTTCCAGATCCCGAGGAGATCTTTGTCACTCGGGCCCAAAAAGCGAAGCACGACTAGCAAAAAAAATAAACAGCCAAGACATGACGCGCGCACAGAAAAGAGGCTCTGTTTGCAGATGCTGTAAAGCTCGAGCCCAAACGAGAGCTCATTAATGGATTTTTTCCTCGCGGAAAGCAAAAACAGTCTTAGAAAAACAGGTACGGCGAAAGGAAGTTGTTCCAACGTGAATAGTTTTTTCAAATGTTTGGGCTTAAGACTGTCCAGACCTAAGCATATTCAGGAAGAGACACATGGGAGTTGAGCGAGATAAAAAAAAAAGAATGTAAAAAAACAGCGGAAATTTCTGGATACTCATCGATTTTTGTCAAATTGTACAGCAAATATCCTGTCGGGCCCACTCGTGGTGGCCGTTCCTCTTTTTTTTCTATTGCCCTTTTTCCTGTTTTTAGCATACATCATGATTTTTTAGCTTCCCTTCGTCACAGTCGGCAAAAAAGACGGGCCTCTGTGCCAGGAGTCACTGTAACTGAACTTTGCTGTGTACCAATACCATGACTCACATCGAGCTCCGACTGCTTTTCTAAACACCGCCTGCGGTTGGCTTTTATGTATAAGGTTGGAAAGGAAATCCCCCCCAAAAAAATATAGAAACAATGTGATACTAATTTAAAAAGATAACGTTGAACACGTGGTCCAATAATACTGTTTATTCCATTACACAGAAGCCAAAAAAACTGATACGAAGTTATTCTCTGGTGATTTTAAATCTTTAATCTCCCCCTTTTCTCCAATTTGTAGCTTTTTTGGTTGTTTTTTGTTTTGTTTTTTGTTTTAAAGAGGATCTGTAATACCTCTATGATCAAAATAACTGTCTTGTCTATTTGGTGAGGCATTTTACTGAGTTCCTTAAAGACTAATATGTAAAATACTACATATTAATACGTCTCTAACCTCTCCAACTGACCTATAATAGCGGTATAATAGTCTTTTTTCAAGTAGATGTGACTGACGTCAGCCATCATGTGTGGCAGGATGAGCATTTCGTTGTCCAAAGAGTCAAAGAGCGCCGCTGGGCTTTTTATCTGCAGTGACGCGTTGTAAATCACCTCGGTGAAACCATCCCGTCTCAGTGGGTGCCAGCCAGACCCCGGCGGGTCAGGAGGTGTGGGAATATTGGTCAGACAAACACCGGGAAGCGCGTGGGCAGGGGGGCTTAAAGGCAAGGCAGAGCAAAGTTTGTGTTCTGTTGCTCTTGTTATTAGTCTTTTCACGAGATTTGAGTTGCTAATTTGGTCAGGTTTGCATCAATATTTGACTTCCACTGTAATATACAGAAAATTAAGATATACAATATACAGTGATTTATATATATATAATATATATATGTGTGTGTGTGTGTGTGTGTGTGTGTGTGTGTAAATATATGTGTGTATATGCATATACATATGTATATATGTATACATATACAGATGTATATACACATATTTTTAAATTTTTGTTTTGCTTTCATTTCGTTGGGGGCAGGAACATTATGCATAAAAGCGGGTTCATCTCTAAAGGGACTTGGATCACGCTCCTTCTGCTCTGGGGGTCTATTTCCAGCCTCCGTAGAGCTGTTGTTGTTGTTGTTGTTGTCACCGCGGGCCGAACACGACAGAGACTTCAGCTCCACAATGGCCGCCCAGACAGGACATCCTCCACCCTCAGGGGCAATTACTCACCCCACGTGCCACACGCTTGTTTTTGTCCTCCGTCAGACCAAAGGACGAACAATGTTTCCCAAACCTGAGCCAAAGTGTCCATTGTGCACTTTGCCGGGTGCGTGTATCCATGTAAAACAGGACCCCGCCCGCGTCCACATGCAAATGAGCTCCGAGTGTTTCTTTTGCGTGGTCATTTCCATACCGATTCCCTCTTTGCATGCTTGTGTTTCCTCAGGAGTGACGGAGCTCACTTCAGACAGATGTTGTTTTGCATTTTTATTGGCTCAACTGTGTGAACATGACTCTGTGTGTGTGTGAGTGTGTGTGTGTGTGTGTGTGTGTCCTCCATTCTTCCTCTTGGTGTCTAATAACCTTGTTAGTCGCGTTTAATGAGTTTAAGTTTACCCTTTTTTTCCCCCTGCGTCTACCTTGGTCCACCGATGGAACTTCACTCAACCCCTCTCATTTCTTGTCTCTCGGTTGTTTACAGGGAATTTGAAGAATGTGGTTTAGGACTCGGCAGCCTCAGCCTCCTCCGCACAGATGAGCAACACGCAGGCGAAAACACACACACACACACACACCCCGTGTTTCCGAGGCCGTCCGACTGCTCGGCTGCTTTAATGAAGACAATCTGGAGCGGACCCCTCCAGCCCGGAGGCACCCATCGAGCACGGGAGGGGGGGGGGGGGGGGGGGAGGGGAACAGGAGGGTTTTTTTTTTGTTGGAAAACATGAGCCCCGCGTTTCCACGGGAAAACAGTTTCAAACGGGGAGGGGGGAAGGGAAGGGGAAGGGGGATGTTCGCTGTTTTTAATTCCTTGTGTTTTGGAAAAGTTGTGTTTGTTTGTGCGAGCCCCGGGGGTTTACGGGATCCCGAGGGCGGTCGTATAAAAAAACTGGATGGCAACGGCCGACGCCGAAGGCGGGAAGGCCGAGATAAGCCGAATAACAGATTTTTTTTAAGGAGTCTCCCCGTTCCTGCTGTGACTTCAGCCCCGCGAGGACAGATGAGCTCTAAAACAGACAGAGCAAACCCCCCCCCCCCCCCCCCCCAAACGGGGCCCTTCGACCTTTGTTTCACAACAGATCTGGAAAGGGCTGGAAAAAGTGTATGAAATGTCCAGGGAGGCCACGAAAAAAATTGGTAGTTACATATTGGTTCGGCTGGACTTTTGGAATTTTGAATAGCGAACAGGTCGAGCCCAGTGAAAGTTTAACTCGGGTGATCTTTAAACGCAAACACCAGTCCCCTAAGTCGAGCCGTAGGTCAGCCCCCGTTCAGAATCCGGCTTCCTCGTATAGGTCAGCGTCGTAAGGCCGCCTCTCACTCCGGGTCACGGGGTTAAGTGACATAACGGGGGCCCAGACGCATTATTAACTCAGTCCTCTTTTCTTTTTTTTTTATTGTTGGTGCGGGGCTGTGTGGTTTCGCCTTGTTTTTTGGAACAAACCTTGATCGTTTTGTTATCTTTTAGACAGAAGTTTCACCAGTTTTAAGAGTTCATTTTATCAGCCGCAGCATTAAAATCGCCAGATCGACGAGGCATGGAAGCAGGACCTCTGCCTGGTACCGGGCCACTGGAAGCTGTTTTCTTTTCGTTTTTTATCCGTGGGTTGCTGGATGGGGTTTTCACTCATCTTTAGGCTCGATCGGTGCTCTCGGCTTTGTTCGGCGTCACCCCCGATGACATAGCTGAAGGGACATCTGGGAGTCTTTTTGAACTGGCATGTGGAGGGGCACCCGGTTTTACAAGGGGGCCAGGATACATGTCGGAGTTAAACCCACATGAAAAGAGGGAGCCGAGGTGGCACCGAAACCAGATCGGGCTCCCCTCACCTCTCGGGGGGATTTAATGCCGTGGCTGACTGGTTAGATATCATCTAAGCCCAGTTCTTGTGGGAATGTTGGTGTTTTTAATGTAACTCTCCGAAAAGAATTGACTTCCTCTGTGACTTATCAAACAAGGAACCTAAAACAATAGCTTCTTTCTACAGTATGTCACTCTGAACACAACCTGAAGTCTTGGGAACACATTGGAACATTTAAATGATTGCATTTTAGTCTATTAATAGATGTTCTGTGGGGGGAAAAAAAACAATAAATGAACATAATATCCATGTGTTTTGTTTTGTTTTTGTTTTCCAATCGTCTGCATTGTGTTTACAGCATATCCTGCCGCCTGTTTATGCGTTAGGCATTTAAAGCTTCCTTTGCATTGTCCATGTCCATGTCAGGTTAACTGAAGTTAATGTGCCTGGTTGATTGTCTCTGTGTGCCCCTGTGATGGACTGGTGGCTAGTCCAGGGTGTAGCCCACCCCCACCTGATGTCAGCCAGGATGGGCTCCAAAAGATACCCGACTACAAAAAAAAAGCAACTCACACAAGTTCAACCAGTTTAAAACCTACATATTAAATCAGTGCCAAGATCCTCAAAAAATTTGATTCAATTTGATTTTATTCATGTTACTACAGAAGCAGAACTTTAGAAACAACTTTCAGACAGGTTTTATTTAGGTTTAGTCATTTTTCTTTTGTACCTCGTAGGTTATGAGATGCGAAACAGTTTTTGCTTCGTTTCTGCCTTTATATCTAATAAAGTGTTCAAACTCTAAGGCTTGGCATTTAAATGGCTTCAGTTTTCTGGGCAACGTCCTCTCAAATGCTTCAAACGTTTTCGAGCTCGCTGCAAACAAACATGACGTCTCAAATAATCCGTCAGGATGAAGATCATTTCCAGGATGAAAAATTGGTAGGGAACTTTTTTGTTGTTGTTGTTAAACCTGTTTGCATGTTCCAATATACAAACCACAGGTGTTTGTTGAAATAAAAGACGGGAAAGCGTGTTTTAGTCATGCGTCTGTGCTGTTTTAAGCAGTGATTTATGCGGTGCAAGCTGGTAAATAGAGGCTTTAATGGAGAGCGTTTGAAAGGGAAACCACAAATGTCAGGCAGCCTTCTTTAGAAGTGATGTTCCTTAAATTAATGGCCTGGAAATTCACACCAAATGTAGGAGTCTCCACTCAAAGCTGGCATGTGCTGAACAGAAGTGAGCTCTGAATATGTGCTGGAAGTGTGTGTGTGTGTGTGTGTGTGTGTGTGTGTGTGTGTGTGTGTGTGAGGCTTCCCTGTGATCTTTATGAACACTGCTGCGGTCATTGTGGCGGTTTGAGCCCCACGCACCCAAAGCAAATGAAGCTCGTTACACCGTTTACGAGCTCGGAAAAGGAGAGACGATTGAAATTCTATCTCATAAAGAGGGATGGGGGTGAGCTTACACGGTACCGGGCCAGGGGCTGTAAACATGAGAGACGTGAGAAACTTGTGTGTGTTTATGTCATTTTCTGTGCTCTGAGGAGCTGGGTTAGAAGAGGCGAAGAAAAAAAAACAAAAAAAAAACAGGGGCCTCAAGAGGATTCGTGGCACCACTGGAACTGCTGGACTTTATTTTCACAAATGGCAAAAGCTAAGTTTGGGTTCTTATTTCATTTTACAAACCAGACCTTTAGGTTGTTTGCGGTTAAAAAAGTAGGCCGTGCAGAACTGGGGGGAAAACAAAAGTATCTGAGAGCCAGTCTAACCCGATTATGTTCCAGTAATATGAAAGATTAAGACTAAATACTGGGGCTAATGCATGTTTTAGCCTTTAGAAACACTGTTTGATGTAGCAGGGCTAACAGTACATTATGTGACCATTTGCTTGACAGCAGGCCAGCACCAAGTCCAATTATACTGCTTAATTGTCTGTTTTCATTCTCAAATGTGATATTTAATGAAGTGTAAATGCAACATCCTCCACAATATGTTGCCCATAATGATTAACTGTAACATTTTTCACATGTATTAGCAGCTTACAAATTCAGAAAATGTCGGTTGCTAAGGGCTGAGCTCATTTTTTGTCGTAGACTTGATGCAATGTGTGCCTTACTTGAAATCTGATGAGTTCATTGTTCATTTTAACAAAAAACAGGGCAAAAAAACATACATTTTTAAATCTTTGTTGCGTTTCAGTAGTTGGAACTTAGCTAGTTTAGCTCCTATCTTCGATATCTATCTTTAATAGTTTAGGTTTAGGCTTTAAAAACCAGTGGGTAAGGTTTAGGACAATATAGATCGATGAACATCTTTTCATCTTACAGCATCTACACGCTGGAATCTTATTTTCCAAGCGTAGAAATTTGAGAGATGGAGCTTACTTTCACTTCCAAGTTGTAAACGGTTAGGACAGGGGGTAAAACATAACACCTTTAAAATACACTAATCGTCAAAGACACTTGCCAATACTTCCATCTAATGATTCCAAACCCAGTTTTGTAAAACTACGATGTCTCGGGCCCGTTAATAAACTATGAAAGGTTTTAATGTGAAACTGAGATGTTGCGTAACATCTGTCTACTTGCAGCCCTATTAAAGCATGAAATCCAAACAGGCACCATTATTGAGATCATTTGTCTTTTAAAAATCTCCCGTAAACCAGCCGTATAATGCAACAAGTTGTGTAAAGGAAATAAGTCACCCACCACCAGTGCAGGACAGGGGCTTTCTCTGCCAGCATTCGTCTATAATTTCTTTCTGGCTCGACTTTGTCTTCCTCCGGTCGCACCAAAAGATTTATTTTTTCCGATATGAAAGTGGAGGGAATAAATGAAGTAAGGATTTGGATGTTGTCGGGCCTCGATCGGAGTCCGGTGAAGTCATCCACTTTCAGACTCATCTAGGGAAAAATGTACTATTATTTCTCTGTAAAAAAAAGAAAAGAAATGATCTGGTAAGTAACGGCTTGTTTACAGAATGTGTCCCTGCTCTCCTTTTTTTTTTACGCCACGGAAAAAAAGAGAACAAAAAAGATTTCCCAACGACTTGAATGCAAATCATCCCCAGGCCTCGCGCACACGTTAGCCTGTGCTTTGAATAGAGTTCCATTTGACCTTTGCTGTTGATAGGTTTAGATAAATTCAAAGCTTAACATCCTTCTGTTTTCTGGGGCCTGTTAGCTCCCCCCCAAAAAAAGAAAAAAAAAGCTGCCAGCTGCACTGAACATTTGCATACATCCACCCTGTTAAGCGCTGGACGTTCTCCAAATCCCAACTCCACGCACAAACTTGCCATGTTGGCTTTGAAATTGTTTGCCGAGCCGTGTTATCTTCAACCGAGTCTTATCGTTTTTTTTTTTCCAAACCCTCAAAGAAGAAGCCAGTGGCAGTTTGACGGACGTGACGCAATTTATTTATCTGCCCGAGATGGAAATGGCAAACGGTTCACTGGATTTGCATAACGTCTTTATCCGGGGGAACAAAGCAGCGGGGGTCCGCCGTCCATACGTCCCCCCCCCCCTACCCCCGCCAACATGTGAAGTGTCCGCGGTCAATGGCGAGGGGGGATTTACTCGCACAATAAAGACAGATGCCACCTTTTATCTGCTTAACGGAAGAGAGGCCGAGCGCGTGGCACTTGACCGCGTCCAAGCATGTTGTTGGCGCCTAATGATGTCCTCCCTCCACGGCCCATTGAGTTGAGTGGTGGATGTTAAATGGATTTGTCCTTTTTTTTTTTTTTACACGTTAAAGGGAAAGGTATTTTTGGATTACTCTATAGGGGTTTACCCATTGTCCTTTTATTTTGTTAAAGAAAAAAACTAACAAAAAAAAGCACGCTTTGTTTTTCTCCCAGGCGCTTCTTTTCAGACAGAATTTGAAAAAATCAATTTTGTTCCCGGATCCGGTGTTGGGTTCGAGCTCGTCCTGTTGGCCAACTTTCAAGTCTCCAACAAT